AAACTGCACAAGTGCCTCTCCACCGCCTCCGACGTGTACGCCGCGCCCCCCGCCCCGCAGCATTCCCTGCTCACGACGCGACAGTATTGCAGTTTTGGTAGTACAGTCACCTTGTACGAAACTACAGTCCTTCCGCTCTGTAACAGTCGCAATTTCTCGATTTTGTTTTGTTCAGTTTTTCCGTTACAACTTCGTTCAGTTGGCTTTTGACGAAGCGCTTGGAGCATCCGACGCCGGAGCGCGTGTGCTGCGTCGTATACTAACGGACTCGAACACGTCACTTGCCTGCAAGCGCTTTCGCCGAAATTTCTTCTTCATTTACTTTCTTTCAGTTTATTCTGTTTTTGTTTATTTTAATTCTTCAACGCTCAACTTCTCTTTCCATTACTAATTGCAGATCTTCAGTTGTTATGAATTTGAAGATAAATTGGTGTGTGAATGTTGTTGGTATGTATAATTGTTGGAGAATATGACACGATCTCATCCTCAAGTTCATAACTGAATTGGTATTTAATGAAAATTGATTAAAAATTGTTGCTGATACAAACATAAATGGTATATCATCAATGTTGGATCGATTAGTTTCATTCGGCCCTGTTGAATTGGCATGCGTTGAGTTCACGTATTCATTTATTAAATTTTCCACTTTCAGATCGGAATCATTTAATAGGTAATCATAACAGTACGTCATTCCAAAGATGTTTTATTTCTTTATCTTTAGTTGTCTCGAGTATCCCATGTGTCTTCATGTCAACTTCTAGAATTTGATCCTCATGTGGTGTGTCATTGCTAAGACGATAGCCGGCCTCTGCCGCTCCTCGTGTTTCATAAATCGACGTCCAGTGCCAAAGCGTATAAATTCAATTACTAAAATATCCTTTTCACGACTCTCCTTTCGTTGTTCTTTACTTTTAGTTTCGTAAATTCTAATCTATCCGTTATTGTTTTAAAATATTCATCTATGTTGTCAGTTTTTTTAAGAAATCCGTAAGACGTGGTATTTCCATACGGTAGTACGCTTGGCACTGGACTGCGAGTTACCTGTCCTGTCCTGTGTCTAGCGTCCTCGGACCCGCTTGTAACGTATGTGGTTTTATTTGTTGATACAGAACCAACTATTCCGCAGACTCTCGCATCTATGGAGTACTTGCACATAATGCAACCCAATGGTATCCAAACATTTGCATTGTTTTTTTTTCTTTTAATATATTTCTTTGTTCATTTGGTGGCTTTCCAGGCACCTGTAGCTTGTTTATTTGTACGTTAGAATGAAATTGTGGCTGTTGTTTCGTGTAATACAGCACTATATTCAGATTATTTGCACTTTAAAACGATACGGCATGATGTTTAGATTAAGGTTAAAAGGTGACTTACTACTAAAAACTATCTTATTTTATAAACTATCACAATGTCAGTGTTACGATGAACGGACTTTGTATGTTCTATGTGCATTTACAGCGAGGCTTTCCATATTGTATCAGACACGCGATCTCTACATTTTTTCTTACTAATTCTTTTTCAATATTCTATCGAAGATTTAACGTTTAAAATCAAGGTCACAAACGGTCACATTTTTGTTTGTTTGCCATTATCTGCAAAGTATTTTGTAATTATTCTATAAAGTAATATATTTTTTTATTGAGAAAAAAATTCAAGCTCAACAATTCGATAATTAGTTTGTTTAGTAATGTATGAGATTTGTTCAATACATAATGTAATTTCTTTTTTCTAGCCCGACCACACAAAAAGTTTATATGGCTCGTATTTGGCTGCCTCTATATACGGCTGTCATTATGTCTATGTATGCTTCCGGTACTATATTTAATAACAGCACTAGACGCATGCGCCTTACGAACGTTCGCACCGCTCTTAAATTAGTGTTATGTTGCATTGAACTTGTTTGTCCGTCCATACGACTGCTTCGTATTAGACGTGGAGTGTTACCGCGAGGGCTCGTGTAGACTCGCTCGGAGCTGTTTACGCTAGAGAATGAAGATCACCGGCTGAAGACGGGCCCAGCTTCCCCCATCTATACCCATCTTCATCACCATTTCGTGTTCCTTTACGCTAACATCTGTTTATGTTAAGCAACGCCTTCATTCGCTCTCTCCATACCTTTTAGAACTGTGATATGTGTTAACTTTTTAACTCTAATGTGATTCTCCATATTTTAATTTCTTGTAATATAGCGACAAACAGCCTTACTAACTGGGTGTACGACACGAGTTGTGTAAATCAGAGATTGGACGGGCATGCAATCCAAACCTTTCAGCATGACTTCTCCTGATCTCTTGTGACGTGTGCACAGAGTATGCAACACCAGACGGTGACTCCGGCTACTTACACAGCACAGATTACGTACGCTAGTTGTCGCCTGAAGCTACGTAGTTATTGTTGTCTATGATACTGGCTGATTTTTATTTTGATGTGTGTACCGATAGATGTCGCTTATTAAAAAGTACTTCTCGGTATAGAAGTTTTCTATGAGTATTATTTAAGTTAACTCAAGCAGTCCTTATAACAAATATGGTTATATAGAGTCTTACAAATAAGAATTTTAATTCTATAGCGTCATAGAGTATAAAATGCTTTTTAACATATAATCAGCCAGTATGATCGCATTTGTCTAAAGACCATAGAGCACTCGTGGTCTATGATCTTTGGATCTGAGCTATTACCACTACGGGTGGATAATCTGTTGGTTCTGTTGTCTACGGGCCGCGTAGACAAGCTGGATAGCTCGTTCTCGCGGTCGCGGTCCAGCAGCATGTCCAGTCTGGAGAACATCTCGCAGGAGGGCATACAGTGCCTCGCATTCGCTGACAGTTACACCAAGAAATCAGGCAAGTATACATTTATTAACTTATCTATGTTCATTGTATAGTGGTCCTTCGAGCAGGATACCCATGGATGGCAACAATGATCGCTAGATTCGATCTTATTGCTAAGATTAAAACTTTTTTTTAAATGCCGCTTGATGATGATATGCTAGTTTTCAATATATCTTTTCATTGGACAGTATTAATTCAATTTAAATTTGGCAGACCCTACGGGACTGGTGCCGACATTGTGGATCGGCACGTCGCTGGGCTCAGTACTCACCATGATGATCAACCTGCCCGAGGATGACCTACGCTACACGCAGCCCGTCCACATTTCCACCACAGGTTTATTTGCTTACTAAACCGTAGGTTTTTAATGATGAAATACTGTTATGAAAAATTAGCAATTGCTTTTATAATTTGCAGGAGGACCTATCCTAAGGCTAAAAGGTTCAATTTTAACGATGTCGTTCCTCGACTGTAATGGTGCTTTAATACCTTATTCATACGAAAGTTGGAAGGACGATAGTAAAGAGGTAATTCTATATGCAAAATACAAATCAATAATTTCTTTCTATCTCCTGTCAGATAGGAATGGTTGTTTTAAATTGTACTGGTGTATTTAGAGTCGTGATAGCCGTGAGCGTCGCGAGCGCACGCCCACCAAGCAGGGGTCGAGTGCGAGCCGCACGAGCCCGACGCCGGGCGCGGGGGGCGCGGGAGGCTCTGGTGATGGTGACCGCCAGTTCGTGGTGGTGGCCTCCGAGAAGCAAGCGCGTGTCATCGCCCTGCCCAGCCAGAACTGCGTCTACAGACAGCAGATCGTCGAGACTGACTTCGTTGTTAAATCTGAAACAGTCAGCCTTAAAGGTATTTTTATTTTTATGTCGGAACCCTAATACACCATACACAATACACAAGCGATTTAGAGGGCGCACACCTTTGACTGAACTATCGCACAACTGTCGATTGTTTCGCAGCCAAATCAACTGTTTAATTGAGCAATTAAAAATCGAGTAACGTGCGCACCTCCATATAAGCTCATAGGAATCAAAGCAAGACTAACCAGTTCTGATATAGTTTAATCAAAAGTGTGCGCGCGCTCTTAATGACAGTAACTACTATTAATATAATTGTATTAAGTTTGATTCTATATATTTCAGACAGCGTGTGCCTAGTGAATTACCTGTCGACGGGTCACCTGGTGGCGTACAGCCTGCCCTCGCTGCGGCCGCTCGTCGATGTAGACTTCCTGCCTCTCTCCGAGCTCAGGTATACCTCTTATGATACCTATCCCTTAACTAATATTTACTCTTCCATGGAAACCAACGCTTAAAGAGCATCCTCTCTAGATGAACTATAATCTATGATTTTTTAATCTATGACCATCATATTCCCGAACTACTTGTGACCTTGTCAAGCACTGAGTTATTTTGACATCGAATGAAGATCGCTTGATTTTTTTCTCTTGTGTCTCCGAAATATCGTTGACTATCTGGCCGAGTCGGTGATTCGCTTCACCTAGAAATTTTAGAACATCTAACTTCGCCTATGCTTCATAGACTAGATCAGCGAGCTTTATGTTTTTAAAACTCTCACTCGTCTAACATAAAGTATTATTTCAATTCGATTCTCTCATATTTGGGCTTAAATGTTTATGACGCGCCAGATTTCAAAGGATATTTCGACAGACCATGGTTTCCATGGAAGTACGTTACGGTGGACTTTCTTACTAAATTCTCTTTTAAAATCGGTGTCCAGTTCCTCGATAGACATGTCCGGTGAACACCAGTCACTTTTAGACAATTTCCATGCACTAAAATAAGGCACTAAATGATAAAGAGCTTGTTTTACATTCGAATTAGCTTTGATAATTACGAATGCTTTAACGCAGATTTTAATCATACAATGATTTGTCATTCATCAGTCATTCGCTCGATGAAATCGATTTAAAACCATCTGCTGTTTTATCATTTACAAGCCTCGACGTACCTTCTGTGACTTACGATCGATGTTAGATCTGTGATACTTGTTTGGTGCAAGACGTGACCCGACTAATTGCAACTCCGAAATCGACAAATTGATTTATATTTTCAATATATTTAACCGCGCTTTCAACATCTTTTTAATCTTCTTTTACGTGAAACTAATTGCTCATTTGTCGACTCTGGATGATGCAATGTTCCGTCATTTTGCATCCAAAGTTCAATCTGGATTTTATCTCAAAGCACGATCCAATTTTGCGCCAAACAAGCTGCGGTGTGTCATCTTTTATTTGAAATCAACAGCACCGCGCTGCAGTGGCGCCACTTCTCACAACGTAGTCAAAATTCTGCAGACTGTCAAGCACCACCTGTGCTTCCGATATTTGCAATTTTTAATCTATTTTTAAGTTAACAAAGCGGACTCTTAACATGATACGAACACAACAAATGTAATGACCTGACACTGTAAGCGTTGCCAATCCGAACAACCGGCGTTTAAATGGTATCCCACGATGCCAACAGCCATTGAACTCATCGAATGTGTCCCAGGTATCCTTTGCTAGACATTGTAATTGTGTAAGTCGCGGATCTTATCGATGACACCTGCATTTTACCCGGCGAGCGGCCGCGCGCGCTGCCCCTGCCCCAGCTGCGAGGTGGAGGGGCAGCGCGCGCTTCGACCTCTACTGACTCGCCGCTCGTGTTCCCGGTAGCTTCCAGACACAGTCCAAACAGAGGGGTATCGTAGACCCAATGCTCTCGATCTGGGGCCAGCAACTCATTGTTAACGAGGATACAGACCAGTAAGTGGTAGCGGCCGCGCTGCGTACCCCGCCTCACCGCCCCGTGGCCCCGCCCACACGCCCTCTTGCGATCCTTTGTTTAAACTGTTAGCTGTTCATGTCATCCAACTCCTACGTTACGTTTACACGTTGATCGAGGTCTGGGTGAGTATTTGCGCGTACTTTGAGTACGATCGACACTAAAATAACGGCAGTAACGTAAACAACGCAAATATACAAAAGGCAAAAATTCACCCAGACCGCATGTAGTTCGAGTCCTCGCTTGCGTTTGCTTTGAGCCTCAGTACCCTAGCGCGATTCCCTCACACTACACTACCCACAAAGCCCTCTACAATACACTCTCACACTTACACTGCTCTTCTCTGCTTTCATATACGTTTGTCTCGCTCTTCTTATTGAGTTATCTTCTCTTTCTCTCTCTATTTGCTACTATAAATCTTTTTAAACGTTTTTAAAGAAGCATGAAAGCTGACGGTACTGTATCTTCCATAATGCTTTACTTCATATATTGTACAGTCCGATGCTTCGCTTTTGTAGATTTTATATCAAATAGGTATCGTCATATGGATTAAAGGTGAGATTTTTTCATGTAAATTACATTAACGCTAAACTTTTCATTATTAAAAGCAATCAATTGCAATCACTGATACAATCTATCATGAATTCAAAAGAATACCTTAATTTACTCGGTGACACGTTGCGTCACAAAATTTATAATTCAGCTATAATTATAAAAATCAACTTCAATAACTAGTGGATATTTCAGAATTTTTATCAAATCCTGATTACTTGAAAATTATATACAAAACTGGTTGTTGGGAAATTCTTTGATCCGACGAGATATCTACATTGAATAATTTATGTGTACAGGATAGCGAAGACGTTCTGCTTCAGCAACCGCGGGCACGGACTGTACCTCGCCTCGCCCACTGAAATACAGAAGTTCACAATTGACACCGATTTCTGGTAAGTCATTTCACATTCCAAAAAAAATCACACAATTCTTTAACTTTCGAATGTAATTCTGATATCAATTTGGTATTTTGTGTAGCTATCAAATAAATGAAATGCTTGGAGAGCTATTCCTCCCGCGGGATATGCCGGAGGCGCCCAAAGAGGGATTTTTCAGAGGGTTGTTTGGCGGCGGCTCGCGGCCGCTCGACAGGGAGGAACTCTGTAAGTAATATCAGAACAAAATAGTACAACACTTGTGTAGGATTTATGATTGTGTTGTATATAAACTTGCACTGTCTGCAAGGAATATCTGTAAAGATTTTTATTTTTTAACATAATGACTTGTAATTCTCTTACCAATAAAATATTTGTATTTGTATTTGGACTCGTACATCGGTATAGGTAAATCCAGAAAGAGATGGATGGATTGCGTGAAAGGCGACATGATCAGAAGGGAGTGACTGAGATGACGTATGATAGAGTTATGTAGAGGACAAAAACCTGTTGTGTGTAAGGAAATAGATGATGATGAACGTACAACCCCTTACCCGTACCCCTGCTAAACTGTCTACCCCTGGAGATCACGTGATGTTAACCTACATCAATGTGCAGTCGGCGAGAGCAGCGGGAAGCCGAACCGTGCGGTGGCAAAGCACATCCCTGGCGGCGCGGGCACGGCGGAGCTCGGCGCGCGCGCCTCCGCCGCCGCCAGCGAGGTGTCGCGCGCGCACCAGCTGGTGCTGGAGCGCGGCGACAAGCTGTCCCAGCTCGAGGACCGCACGGAGCGCATGCACTCTCAAGCCGCGGAGTTCTCCTCCTCCGCGCACCAGCTTATGCTCAAATACAAGGACAAGAAGTGGTACCAGCTGTGAGTCCCGTGCTTCATCTTTTAGGCTAGAAGACGGATCTTTGTGAAGCTGTAATACATATAAAGGTGCACGCACTCGTTAGTTCCTCTAGCCGGCGGCCCCTCTCAGACGCATCTCAGACCGTATAAAGCCACAAGCAAGAATGACATACGATTTGCTTATCTTTATCTTCATAGACATCGAGACGGGGCGGGGCCGGCTTACTGACAAGACGAATGTGCGTTAACCTTTATTAGATACGCAAAATGTTTTGTCGCTCCTGTCTATCACAGCTGATAGATGGCGTTAATGTACAAATCTCTGAGTGCGGACTATCTATCAATTCCGATGCACATAACTTCCCAATAAATTCTAAATAGTTTCAATGGACTTTTAAGAACAATTAAGGTAGTAATAAAATTAAGGACACGATACAATTTCGAAAAAAAAATGGTAGGTGATTTAAATTAACTGAAAGGAGCACAATTTTCATATTCTAACACGTAAGCAAGTTTTCAAATAAGAGAGCTTAGGACAGGCGACAGACGAACTTTCTATAGCGTTTCGGAGTTACGCACAACGTTGTTTTTAGTTCGGGAATGACGTAGGTTAAAAACACGTTTGGTCAACAATTATTACTGTGCCTGATTTCTATTTCTTCATTAGTTAAAATAAATATCAGATAAATGAGAAAATATTTTTCATTTTAAGAAAATTATCGAAGTGTATCTGTTTGAAACTTTCTGCATTCGTTGTCGCGATGTGATAATGTAAATAAAAAAAAACTAACATTAACTTTATTTTTTTATACCACTTATCGTATGGAAATACGCATCAGTTATCTTTTATTTCATTTTTTTAATTACAATTTGAAATGCGTCTTAAAATCGCGTTCTATTTTTAAAAAGTTGACAGTTTACGTTTAGAAACAGAGTTTTATTTTAAAAAAAACGGGTGAGATTGTTGCTAAAAACCCGTGTCGCGTAGCTGTACATTTTTATAGATACGAACGTAAGGATAAAATTTAATAAACTAAATGATAGTTAATGTTGAACTGTATAATGTGATAAGTTAAAATAAATACTATAAAGATTGGAAATTTAAGCATTGGATGACAATAATTTTGTTACTCTGCAAATTTCTTTCGTGCCACGAAGTTACCTATCTTTTCTCTCTATCTCTTCTCTATTCGTTCAGAAATCGCAACATTCTTTATACATTGTGGCACTTTGTCTATGATATGTGGAGTTATATTTTTCGTCAGAGCATTTGTTAGTAGAGACACATTATATTTAATTAGTATTTTAATTATGAATTGTTTATAATAACGTAGGGTCCCGGTGCTTGCGGCACATTACATAGCAATACAGGCGCGGGTTGCCAGCCCGGCGCAGACCAAACCAATTGGTGTGTCGGTGTTGCTAGATAAAATACAAATATAAAATAAAACGATAACTATTATACTATAAACTATAAATTAAAATAATTGCACTATGTATATCGCTGGTTAATAATAAGTTTGTAGAGAAACTCTCTGTGTATATCAAGTTAAAAATATAATAAAAACGTATATGTTCTGTAACCAGTAGATTTATGGCAATAGTTTTTAAGCATAAAATACGTTTTCAAATTCAAGTATAAAGTTTAATTATATGATTTTTGTTTCGTATATGTAAATAAGTACAAAGCAATTTAGTATAAAATGGACAGTATACAGTGAGTTTCATCTACCTTATATTTAAGTACTGTAGTGAAAATCGGTGTATCGCATGGCAATAAACATTTTATTAACAATATTTAGGTCAATAATTACTGGTAACCCTGTGTTGCTTCTCGCTTCTCTATATTTCTCCTATGAAAAGAATTAAACAATTATAAAAATAATATCTTTAAACAAGCTAAATGATTTTTTTTTTATCTTATGCTCCTTTGTGTATTTAATTTTTAGGTTATGTTTTATTTCATATCTTTTTTTCGCTGAAAGATTTTATTAAAACTTGTCAAATTATTCTAATCAATGTTTTTCTTAGATTATTAATACAATTTAATTAAAATATCTACAATATAGTTTGTTCTTTAATATTCATATTTTTGTATTGTTACCTACGGTGAACCTAATATAACCTCATTTATATAAGAGTATTCATTAAAAAATAACTGTATTATTAAATATATTATGCTACGTTTGTTTTTAATTGATAATATATTCTATTCTAGTTATAAAGTTTATTTCGTTAGGAATGTTGCATTAAACGGAATGTTACTATTGTCAGGAATATATTTAAAACGGGGGAATTCCAAACTCATAATGTTCCAATTTAGCGTCTGTCTAAGTAGATAGGTTGAAATTATGTTATTTTATTACAATACCGGAATGCCTCTTACAGTCTTTAGTAGATACAATATTTTCTTATGAATCTATAAACAAATTAGCGTTCGCGAGGTTTTACATAATTTTTAGGTTATGTATATTTTGACAGTTGGTAGCGCACACGCCGTTGTAGAGAAGCACCGCATATCTGGTCGCATATCAGTGTAATATAAACCTATTTAGTGCGATGGTCGTAGGAACCCGTCGTAGTTTCTAGACGGTGCTTGACTTTTCTAACTAAAGCTTTTAAGATCTACTTAGGATTTATTTCTGTCTATATTCTAAGCTATCTGTAAGTACTCAAGTCAAAGATAACTGCACACAAAAGTTAATAGCGTCAGATTTTTTGTGCCGTTTTGACAAAACTATTGTTATGTGGTTAAAGTCGTCACGCAAAACCTGACGTTTCTTGTATTATCGTTTACTGCTCGGTTTACACTTGACCAGTTGAATTGCGACGGGCAATCATAAATTGTATAGACTTAATGGCGCCAATTAGTTTTCACACTACGCCAGTTGATTCCAGTTACTGAGCGATAAAGTCCAACTGTACTGGCCAAGTGAAAACCGCGCTTGTTAAGGACTGTGCAGTTATTTGTCTTGGGCCATCATTGCATAACGAATTGTCTCACATGTTCCATGCTGTACAGATCGCTAGAATTAAAGTACACTTTCATGAATTAATAGGTGTTGAATTTTATCGACGATCGAGACTTACAATAGCTTTTGTTTCATTAAGATTGTTGGACATGTTGCCATATTATTTTGTGACAGTGACGGATGTTAAGAAATTAAAATCGGACATATAATAGTTTTTATTAGTTTTCTTTGATAATTTAGATAAAACAAGCAATAAATATACTTTTTAAAATTCATCAATGGGCGATGATTGTACGTTTTTTTGTGCATTAACCTGCAGGTCGAACATAAGCTGATAGTTTCCCGCTTTTTTACTTACAGAGGTGGTAGATAAAGTGACATTTTTTCTAATAAATCTTGATACAAACAGTTCACGCTAATTTTACCCGCAAAAACGTCTAATCTAATAATCTCTTTGAGAAAAAAGTGATGACTGAGATTAGAGGTTTGAATAGCAGAACAGCAGAAACATTAGCAAAAAATGGTAACGCAAGTTTTGTTAATTGCGGCGAGAAAAACTTTTACTCTACTTATTACAATGTTACTTTGTCCTTCCTCAGATGACGTAGCACGAGAGTTTGCGTGAAAGTACCAATGTCTGCATCGATATGTGTACTTACTCTCAAATTTTCGTGCTATGCCTGATCGCCTGTCTTCTAGTAAGACTTCGCCTTCCCTTTGCGCGTCGTTATTTTGGAAATTATGGGACTAAATTAATATAAGGTGTGTAAATAAAATAAACTTGTGGCAAATTATTACTTGTTAATCTTACGACCGTAGTTTCTTTCAAATTTACTTTATACGGTTTAGAATGGTCTCTAAAGAGGAAGCGAGGAATTATATGAGCTACTTTTACATATTGTACATAAATAAATGCTGTTAAATTATTTAGTTACGTAGTTGATTACAGTCATTATGTATAAATGAATTATAAAAATATGATAATAAAACTATATCGAAAATTTAACGACTTTTATTTAATCCGTTTACCCTTTTTTCTTTACTTTTAGTTAGGATTTTCGTTATATTGTCAGTCCCATTATTAAATCTTACAAAGTACATCAAACTTCTTCTTCAAAAATTCTTTAGCTTTATCTATTATAAATAATCTAAAAGTTTTATTACAGAAACCCTCCTCGATACTCATGTATGACAAAACATAGGTAGCAGTCTGAAGAAAGATTTCTAATAGTTTCAATTTCATCGTAACCCACAAATCAATTTAAACAGTAATACGTCACTAGTGTTATTAAATGTCGCTTTAGATATCCAGCAATACTTATAGCCATTTACCATCTTACTAATATAAATGAGATAGTTCAGCAGGATGGATGGATGTTTGTCAGGGTTTGTAGCCTAAATGGCGGAGCGGATCTCAATAAAATTTGGCATAGATGTAGAAGATAGTCGGAAGAACACATAGGCTACTAAAAGAAAGAAGTCAACAAAACAGGTATTAACAGAAACACAAGTATATTGAGCAACTTTTTTAATAAAACTTTTTAACTATGATATAATAAATACAATACATTACATACGAGCATTTATTATGTCTCGGGCGCGTCGGATACAACGTACTGGAGGAATACCATATTTCAAGGTCACCCGGTTTTAGGGTTGTGATGCATCCACGACGCCCGGAAGGCACAGTTCTCGTTGACGGACCACCGCCACTACTCTGCCGTTTCGCTACATATGTACATATTTTCACAATAAAAGCGTAAACTATTAAAGCACACTACACTATGGGCCGATGGTTTAGTCGGGAGCTTGCTCAGTAAGACATGTACGGAGATTCGCATATTGAAGCCCGAGCCGATCAAAGATCTGTACTCTGTCTCTAAATAGTGAAAGCCTTTAATCTCTAAAGGGTAGAAATCGTTACAATTGCCCAATAAATATATGTTGAGCCACAGAATTACGCTTTTATTGTGAACGTGCCTTTAAGGCGGAAAAATATTTTTAAAGCTGATGACTTGAGACTTAGCAATACACCAAGTGCGAAAATGTGATTCGTCATAGCTTAAAAACAATTCATTCACTTGTTGAGTCGATCGTTTACATACAAGTTTACGAATTTCCACCTTAGATGAACGGACTGAACGACTATCCGATACAAAACCAATTGACCTAAAATCGCTTATAAGCAACAAAATCAGATCATTCACTAAGTTGTCATTCAGTCCCGTTATATTACATTATCTAGACACGACATTTATCAAATAAAATTGCCAAAGTTTTTACAAATATATTTGTTAATACATGAAAATCGTTGGGACAAATTTATACGCATTAACTATGTGTTATACTCGCATTTTTACATAGAAATTGAGTCCACGTTAATTATTGCGTACAAAATGTGTCCCAACTATTTCGCATCAAATAATCATACTGCATCGGCATTAAGTCTGAAGCCGTGGGTATTATACAAAAATAGGAATGACGTAACACCTAGATACTGTGTAGTCTATGGCCAGTTCTAACTCTAAGGCCACACGTGACGGCGCGGATGTGAGGACACAGCTAAACAGAGCCATCTCAGACACAAACGATCTCTACATATGACTAACTTTTACACCACTGTGCTGTTAAATGAAATAAGTAATTGAAATTAAACAATCAATTTAGTACTTTAAAATGAATCAGACAATAATAAAAATATAAAACTCGAAGTTACAATCAACAACAAAAAGCATTTGCTTATACTAAAATAGTCCATTAAATTTACAATAGATTACATTTTCTCTACCTACCAAAATTGCCGTTTGGTCTCACAAACGCACCGCACACGTTTCATTGCTAAGGCGATACAAAACGTCAAGGACGGCGCAATCGTCTGAGGATCGATCGGAAAACCTATATATCACATGATTATGTACAAATGTAACTCCTTGGAAGAACCCATCAAAGTCACCTCACTATTACATCATTAATATTCGCTAACAAAATTGCTAAATATCGAAAAATCCATTTTTATTTCATTATAAAAATCCATACCGATTATCAGGCAAAGAATTTTCAACCTTGTGTAATAATCGGACGGTTAAAGACCGTTTAGTCTGTACCTCAAAGTTTTGTAACATGTACAATGTAATGGGAATCAAAACTCAACGAATGACCTTGACTTATGTGACAGTAAAAACGGCATATACCGCTTCACACGATCAACGTGAATTTAACAATAATTTAATACTAACATCTACAAGACATTTACCACAAGTTCTATAAAACATTTGCAAGAAATATATCGAATTTTAATTAAATCGATTTAATCCTTAACAAACGATTCTAAAACGTCTGTAACGTTAAATCAAATTATTAAACATGACAACATTAAAAATATCTTTTGTGCTGTCCGCACCAAACAATAATATTGCATTAATGATTAAACTGCATTTAGTTTATTACATAACGATCGATATATGATTACATAATATGAATATGCGATTCTACATACTACATAAGGAATATTTACAACGCACGAAGGTACAACACGTATGGGACAACAGCAATGCGCCTAATTCTATGTACAGTACCGATCAACCGTTACACAGCGCCTTTAGCACCTTTCTAGGGCAACTGACAATGTGAACACATCTATTCATATAATAAAATTTGAGTCTCTGTAATATATAAAAAGAAAAACAGATTTTGGGAACATGATGTATTTGCGTTTCTGATAACGAAAATCGCAGTTACTTTTTTTGTCTGTCTGTCTGTTCGCAAGACGCGTTTGCTCCGAGTAATCTCCAAAACGGCTAGGCCGATTTGGACCGGACTTTCACTGAAAGGTAGCTGACATAGACGGGTATAATATAGGTACTTTTTTATCTTAATATTGCGTGGACGAAGTCGCGGGCAACAGGTTGCATTACTATAATTTAAAAGAACAAAAAACCCGACTAACTAAAGATTTATGGTGAGATTCAAACTCGATTTTTTTACAATTTTTAAAGAATAACTCTCATGTCTATTGTATTTCTTTTGTGCTAATGTCTGACTCTCCGGGGAAGAAAACGAGTTATTTGACAGCTCATTGAAAATCGGTTCAGTACTTTAGTCTGTAGACCGTCACAATAAAATTAAAAAACATACGCGCGAAAAACATCACCTCTGTCAGTCGGGTAAAAACTAGAATAACTTTTAAAATAGATACAGTGATTTTAACCAACAGCATCTCAAATGGTACCATAGATGTAAAGTAAGGAATGTGTCACATCGCAGTGCCTCGTCACATTTCGCTAATCACAGCTAGTTAAGATTAATTAAGCTAACACTTTGAATTCGCTATCAAAACAAGTTTCAAATTCGAATTCACGGTTTACCAGAAACTTTTGAAACTGATACGTAGACATTAAAATTTAAAACACATGAAAGTTGAATTTACAGAAATACAAAACGTTCAAATGATATGAATCTACAACAATGATCAAAGTCGATCAAAATTCATTCGACTTAAATACAATTTCAGTAACATCCTTATTATTATCGAGAATATGATATGACAAGTAAATGAACATCAAACATCATATGAAATAACTTACATTAGCTTTAGTAAATTTCGACAAAATAGGTAACAAAAGACAATGTAAGAAAGGGTAGATATAAATTAAATCTTTGCCAACTACTACGGAATTGGTTATTTTAATTTCATTTTTGATACATTCTGGTTTCATTTAAACATAAATTAATACTCGATTCGCCTACAAGGTTAGTACAAGATTATCATCAACTTTATAAAATCAAAGACAAAATAATTTGACTGAAGTAAGGAAATACATCAAACGTATTAATTTTGTTAGCTATCCTGAAAACATTCAAACTTTCCTTTATATCGAACTAAATCTACAAATGATATTCCAAACATATGTACCGAAATGGCCTATCTTGCCTTAGATATGTCTTGCGATATATTCAGATATGAATATTGAAAGGTAAATTAACGTATTGGAACAAAATCGTACACTACTTACATTTTTGTTTTTAAATTAAAAAGTACATTGAATCCGAAATCGTCTATAACAAAATAATCGATTTTTCAACAGCATCGACATAATTGATCACATCATAGATTTACGAATAAAACAATGAAATAAAACCTCACACATATCATACGTCTGTTCGATTTCTACACTTAAAATCTACTTAATAATTGCGTTTATACTCACATTTAACGAATTCATCAACATCTCAAACAGTATGCCGCAAGGGACTCATATAGGTCCCATACATTGTAATATGCATTTTTAAAAATAACTCTTAAAGTACATTGCGTGGAACTTAGACATTTTAAGGTACGCAGAAGGCTACACGTTGCGACTACGCTAACTACGAACAATTGTAGATATAGATAATATATACAGTAAACACTGCTAATTGAAATAAGAATTGAACACGAGGACAACACTAAATATGGTTTTAACACATTATTCTACACAGGCGGTACACTCTACAATGAGGGATATAGAGTCTTTATGTTCCTGGGACATTAAATTTTAAGATTCTAGACAAATGAGGGATTTTTTTTTGGTACGCTGCTTGGATATAATTGAAATTATTGTCTTTATTTAACGAATAGCATGTTTGTGTGGAGAATAGAGATTTCATTTTAAGGTTAATGGGTTATAATTAAATCTAAAAATCTCTTCGTTAACCTTTTTAGTTTTTAAACTTTATAAAAAACAGTTACATCTCACCAACAGTACAGTAAATACTTCTAAAGCCTACATAAGAAAAGCCTGTAGGGAGCTTTAATTTTCTAATTCAAATATAAAATCTAATCCACACATTAGTAGAGTGCACGCCTTTCTTAAAATTACAATTGAAGCTAGTTATTTTTTTAATAACACATTGCGTTGCACAAAAACATCACAGAACAATATCGACCAATACAAGATTTGCTTCATACAAATCAGATAGTTGAGATTAGTAATTTTATTCAACATCTAAAATAATCTGTATCATATAAGTAATAAAGGCAAAAATGCAATAATTTTGTACAAATTTTCATTTCAACAATATACGCACGTTTTCATTACGAGGCTTGCAAAATTACTTGTTACTTCATGTTGTATTCAATTTAAAGCCTAACAACCGTTAGCGTTCTGCAGGCATATTGTTTGATGTTATCCAATCAAATATTAATTTTAATAATAGTTATATATTAAAAATTGTTTAATATACCTTTATACATTGGCTAGCTACAATGTTAAAAAATCTTTACAAATAAGCATTTAAAACAAATCATGAAAAATACAATTCGGGTATTCGGAAATATACACAACGGTTACGAGTAGGTTAAAATATATGCACGTAAAATAGTTAAAAATTTAAAATTTACGAATGACACTAGCGACAAATTATGACACCAGTGTCATGAGCCATGATGTCATCAGCGCCTCGCCGTGTTAGCTGGCTGTAATTTTTAAGCTGTCATCTTTGCCTTTGTTGTGCAAAATTTAAAGCAATATAACTTAACACTAGATGAATTAATTTAGTGAAACTTTGCGTGTCAGTACATTTACTAAATAAGCTCACTTCGACTTAAAAATAACTTTGTTCATTATCACACGCCAATTGGTGTCAAACAGACAGACGTCTTATATTATACTGAAGGCGCAATATAGCGAAAAAATTGTCACTGGTGATCAATCATTGGTACGTTTACCTTTTTTTATCATGAATTACGCATTTTTTTATTTAAACGAACTTAGATATATGATTACCAAATTCATACATTAAGTGAAATTTAGCGTATTTAGACTTAGCTTAGACATAACTTAGAAATTGCATGAACTATTGCTCGGTATGAAGGTAGTCAGTAAATTCTCAGCACAAGACTATAAGTCTCCGTGATAACACTGAGCAAGTGTTACGTAAGTTAGGCATAAGCAAAGTCGAAGTCTAAGTAAGTAATACTATTCAGATAAGATAAATGTGATAAACAGTAAACTTCATAATGACATTTTGTATAAAAGGGTGAATAACCTCAAACGATTCTATCCATTGGTCCTTTATAAAATGGCTTTTGTACGTATTAGGAACAGATTAATTACTGAATTACAACTGACAATAATATTAAACAATGACATTTAATGTATATTGTACAAAAACGTGTGGTTTCATATTAAAACCGGTAGATAATGAAAAATAAATGATTACAAGTATCACAAGTATTAAAACCTGTTGGCGTCGAACAACAGTCCGCAGTCGTCGCAGCGAGTCAGGTGCCGCTTGCTCCATACATACGATCACCTGTCGGCCGACGGCTCCTCACTACTCTGCTCGGAGCTCTGCTCAGAGACCGGCTCAGTGACCGGCGTAGTCAGTGACTCAATCGGTTCAGTGTGTGACTCAATCGGCTTAGTGAGTGACTCAATCGGCTTAGTGAGTGACTCAATCGGTTCAGTGTGTGACTCAATCGGCTCAGTGAGTGATTGAATCGGCTCAGTGAGTGGCTCACTGAGCGGTTGAACCAACTCAAGTGGCGTCACTAACTCATCCGGCTGCGGCATCGCGCTAACAATGTCAGCAATAACATCAGGTGTCATCGAACTCATTGCTGTCAGCAAGTTGTTGGTCAACTCCGCGGTTGACGCATCATCCATCGGCTTCACTTTAAAATCCCCGCCTAAACTCAACGCTTGCAGAGATTGGTCCAAACCCCCCTGACAGTTCGCATCTAAAAATATTTATTGTGTAAGAAACGACAAAACAAGTAAAAAAAAAGGTTAAGTAACTGCGCACATTAAAAAAATAAATAAATGACTAATTTAACAACTCAAGTTTTAAAATAAGCCCTTTCATTTTATTTTCTCACATCTATGTCAAAATTCATCGTGATCCATTCAGCAGTTTAGACTACAAACTATGAACAAACATCCATCCATCCATTCATCTTAACTTACGAAATTATTATACTATATAGTCATATTATAATATAATATAGTCATATTATCATCATCATCGGTCATATTATATAATATAGTCATATTAGCTTATATCTTACTAGTATAAATCATTGACTAATGAGCAAGCTAATAGTAGGAATTGAACAAAGTTTAGTACTATAGTGAAAAGTACCGAGTGCGTTTTTAAGGCCGAATGGCATTCGCATACCTGAGTTATGGCTGTCATTGTAATGCCAAAATGGTGCAAAATCTTGTTGATCGAACGCATGTTGCGAGGGCGGAGTGTCTCCTACAGGAGCGAAAGGATCAATTGGCGTCGCGAAAACATCGCCAAAATTTGCCCATTCGGTGCCATCGGTCGCGTTATCATCGGCCGTATCCCACGCTAGGAAATATAATTCATAAATAACTACAACCTAGCTCGTACACATTTGTATTAACACTTCTAAACAAAATAAAAAAGTACAGCCGCCGACATCCGCGGTGTTTTACGTTCAGAAATATTGCCTTGTTTTTGAACAAAACAAGATCCGCCTCCTAATACAAAATATGAATAATTATAAAAACCAATTAGCCGTGGTTACACTGACTTTTTTTCGTATATCGCCTTATAAAATTCTTGGTTATTGTTCCACGTCTCAATGTGAAAACATTCATACGACTGTAAAATTTGGTGACACCGGTATATACCCTGACTGTACATAGTATAAAATACGAACTAGAGAAGGGTAAACTTACGTGAGACGTCAGCAAGTATTTCCCTGACGCGAGCAGGGTCAGCCTCACCCTCCTGTTCGTTGTCGTTCTCCGCGTCAGCCTCCCCCTCCCCCTCGCCCTCCACTGTGTCCTCCCACATACTACACACAAATAAAAATACAAAAATGGTCCTTCGAGGCGGATATTTTATGAAAATATCGAAGTAAACCAACAAAAAAGTATGACAAATTTCTATTTAGATAGAAAATGTACTCACTCATCATCGAAACGTTGGCCGGCAACTTCCAAGAAGTTCTTTTCATTTGACTGAAAAAAAAAATTATTTAGTAACATATTTAATATTTTGTGGTAGATGTTTGGCTTTCAAAACTCACCGCATTATCACAAGCTAGTTGGACCGCAGTTACATTTTCGTTCACACTGGACGCCTCGTTGAACTGTAAAATAGAGATACTTTAAAAAAACAAATCGAGAAAATAATGGGAAAAACTTCAGGACTCCAATATAATATATTAACATTAATGAGATTTTAGAAACATTCTTACGTCATAGATGTTTTCTGAAGGATAGAAACCTCCCTGTAAATGAAAACAAACATTAATACATCAAAAAATGTTGGTTAAATTGTTTATGTTATTTACAACGGTAAAAAGAGGCCTAGAAAGAGACGGATTACGTGAATATGAATGAAAATGATCAAAGGAGAAATTGAGATGACATCTGAATGAGATGAAAATAGATAAACTTGGAGGATAAAAACTGATGACAGTAAAATTATCAGTTGAGTTAGTAATGATTCAAGTGACGGTGTGATGAATATTTAATTGGGGGCAGGGTTTAACTACAACCTCTCCTAATAATTTATCACAAAGTGTTACTACAGTCACGGAAATCTGCGGTGTTCCATTTCGATAAGTTGCCTTTTTTTGCAACGAGACAAGCCTTATACAAATCTATACTAATATTATTAAGAGGAAAGATTTGTACTTTTGTATTGTTTGTTTTTGCTTGTATATTTGATTCACACAAAAGCTACTGGGACGATTTAAAAGATTTTTTCAATATTAAAAAGAGGCCCTTGGTGCAGCTCAACGTGCACCGCCTGTTGCATATTCCGTGACCGCGGTAAAGTGCATCATGACGAGTTTCCCTGAGTGTAGTGTGGTGTGGCGTGGTGTGGCATGGCATGGCGTGGCGTGGCATGGAGTGGTGTGGCATGGCGTGGCGCGGCATGGAGTGGTGTGGCATGGCGTGGCGTGGTGTGGCATGGCGTGGGGTGGCATGGAGTGGCGTGGCATGGAGTGGCGTGGCGTGGCATGGCGTGGCGTGGCGTGGCATGGCGTGGTGTGGTGTGGTGTACTGACGAGCGGCGTGTCGTGTCGCTGCAGCAGCGGGCGCAGCGCGGTGTCGCGGAAGTGTCGCCAGCGCGCGGCGGCGGCGGGCAGCGCGGGCGCGGCGCCCTCCAGGCGGCGCAGCGCCAGCACCACGTGCCCCATGTTGCCGCGCCGCACGCCTCTACACACAACACATAAACTAACATATAGTTTTTTTAATTCGGAAATTGGTGACGGTTTTTTAATTGAGGTTTCCAAAATTTTTTTTTAAAAAAGTGATTTTTTTGAGTTGGCACTGATTAGAATTGAATTACCAATAAAGAGCAAATACCGTAAAAAATATAAATCCATATCTATCTATATACATATAATAAAATTGTAGTGTCTGTTTAGTAATGTCAAAAGAAAAATTCCAGATTTCGGGAAAATGACGTATTTGCTCTGTATTATTTATTTATAGTATTATTTAAAAAATAATCAAAATAATACTTTCATTGAAAACATCGCTTTAGGTATGTGTCGAGATAAAAATTACTACAAATGTAAAATAGCAAATATGGGAAAAATCACTTACTTTGTGTTCTCATTTTCTTCAAACGTATCCATTAGTCTCGTGAGCAGATTGCATTCATCTATTAGCTGGAACAACACATTTTAAAAGATATAAATACATTATTAACTATATTATCTTCATTTATGTTACTTAATCCACGTTACAAATTAATTAACGTTAAATAATATAAAAAAAAGCTCTTATCTCCTGAAACTTTCAAATAAATTACCTCAAATTAAATCAATATTTAGTAAAACATCGTTTTTTTTTTTTTACATATTGCAATTAATCAAATAGAAAAAAAATAACTAGTCCAGGAGACAATCCCATTGATTGTGTAAAATAAGCTTTTTTTACATTTTTTTTATATTTTTTTTATATTTACATGTTTAGCGTATCTCTCGCCGTAGATGGAGTTAGAGAGCGCGTTGTGTATCAGGATGTAGACCTGCGTGTGCAGGAAGTTGTTCTGCGGGTAGTCGAAGAACATGTCCAACAGCACGCCCGCCGTGCCTACAAAACAAATATATCAATTACATATTTATATTATTACTAGTAATCGTGTAGCAAATATGTATAAAATATTTGTGTTTATAAAACAAAAAATATAACATTATTAAAACTACCCACATTTCTGACAAACCCAAATCAAAAATTGAAACATTTTTATAGACATTTTAAAAGCCATCATTTGGATGGATGATGGATGAAATATATTTAACTTAGATATAAACGAATTACAGTCTGAGATAACTCAAAAACTGCGTTATTATTTAGTTGTACTTATTCAATTTCATTGGAATGGAGGAAATTTTACTCAAAATTACTACTATTTTGGGGCGTTTAGGCTTCGTATTTTCCTTACCTAGAGTAATTAAAGCGTTATGTACATCTTCAACATCAGAGAATGCGAGCTGTGCGATGAGCGCGGCCACGTGCACCCGCGCCGCGCCCACGCCCCCCGCGCCCCCCACGCCCCCCGCCCGCTCGCACTTCTCACTCTCTTCTCTGTTACTCTCTTTCTCTTTACATTCTTCTGCCGCTTCTATGCATTCTGTGTCTTCAGTGTTATCTTGACACTCTTCGTGTTTGGGTTTTTCCGTCTGTATTTTTACATTTGAATGAAAACTCTATTACATTTGTATGCGATATATTTTTAATTATAAGAAAATTTAATTTGTTGAAAAGAAAGTCTTAACTTAAAAGATTTACTACCAATATAGTACAAATTTTACTAAAGATTTAACCTAGATTAGACAAAGAAGGACTCTCGCATTAAACTAATTTAAATAAATGCAGCTGTAAATATAAATTGGTAACTTATTTTTAATCTTACTAATATTATAAATGCGAAAGTTTAGTTGTATTGATGGATGTTTGTTAGAGTTTCTTGCCTAAACCGCTAAACGGATCTCGATGAAATTTATCATGAATGTCTGGAAGAACACATAGGCTACTAATTTTTGTTTTTTTTTAAATTCCAAGCGGGCGGAGTCGCAAGCGAAAGCTAGTTTGTCATAGATAAAGAACATAGTTTGGAAGAACACATAGGCTAGCTATTTTTTTTTAATCGCGAATCACAAGCGCGTAAATAATTTGACACTGTATATCAAGAGTACTTACCGAGTTGATGTTGGTGTTGGTGTTGGTGCTGGTGTTGGCGCTGGTGGTGTTGTCGAGGTGTGCCGGCGGTCGCAGCAGCGCCTGGTGCAGCAGGGGCAGATGCGGCGCCACCGCGCGCTGCACGCTGCTGCTGCACCACGCACCCTCGCCCCCGCCCGCGACACCACCCCCATTACCACTAAGGTGAACAAAAATATATGAAAAAAAAACAAGAAAAACTAAGAACCACCGAGAAGACAGTTAAAAATACATTTCTTTAGTTAGTCTAGTTTTTCAGTATCTATGCAGTTATATATTTTTTTAATTCCTATTACTTAATAATGTCAATTTCACGTCATTATAATATTGTGCAAGTCAACTCTTACATCAAAAATACTATAAATAAATGGAATATCGATTTTTCATAACAATTTTGATTCTAATTTGAGGTTCATATCGATTGATTTATTAGAATCGATGTTTTGAAGCAGGTTTTTTCATTATTAAATTAAAATTGATAGACAATAAATGTAGGATACATTATCTTGTAGTTAACCAGTCACGGAACAAGTCAGTCTGTCAGTCAGTCACCAAACAAGTCAGTCAGTCAGTCATTCATTCAGCCAATCAGTCAACGTGTCATTCGGTCAGTGAATCATTAAGTTAGTGAGTCAACGAGTCATTTAGTCAGTAAGTCAATCAGTGAGTGATTGAGGCAGTATATGGTAACTCACGGCTGCGAGTCATGCGGCAGCAGCGCCAGCAGCAGCTGGCAGCCATTGACGACAGCATGCCGGCGCACCGCCGCGGGCGACGTGAACATGCACTGCAGCACCAGGCGCACGCACTCCTCGGACCGCAGCCGAGACACTAGCGTCCATGACGTCAGCGGCCTGGGGTATTGTAACACTATAGTCCCACCTAATACTGCCTGGTTCACACTTGGCCAGTACCAGTCAAGCATTGGACTGGCATTCATTTATATTATTTATTTATTTATTGAAAATTTTACACAAAACACAAATTAAATATATGCACAAATATGGCCCTGCAAAAACCATACAATTGGTTTGTCCACGGGTGTTGTGTCAGGCTAACAATCTATGCTTGGCAGACACTGCATGTACTGGCGCCAGTTAGTCCTTGCAATATATGTATATCTACACTACTGTCTTAGTATGAAAAAGGCATAAATATTGCTTATTTTAATATTAGATGCGAAAATTTAGATGGATGAATGTTAGAGTTTGTAGCTTAAACGGCTGAACAGATTTCGATGAAATTTTGTATAGAAGTAGAGGATAGTCTGGAAGAACATATACCCACTTTTGTTTACTTTTAATTCCGCGCGGACGAAGTCTCTGTCGTAAGTTAATTGTCAAGTATAAATTGATAAGTGTAAGATTGTAAAGGCGTACTTAGCCATAGATCCCTGCGGTGCGCACGCGCCGAGCAACAAGTCGCAGAGCAGCGCGGCCGCGTTAGCTGAGGCACGCCCCGCCTCCGCTATACGCTTCTTACTCATACCTGACTCTTCGTCACATGACTTTGAATCTATAAATCATGAAAACATGATCATACTATTTGTAGCAATTATTAATTAGTAATAATAAAACATACAAAAGAATTATTAACCTCCTTTTGGAATGTCTGCCAAAAACACAAATCACATATCTAACTAATATTATAAATGCGAAAGTTTAGATGGATGGATGTTTGTTAGAGTTTGTAGCCTAAACGGCTGAACGGATCTCAATGAAATTTTGCATAGACGTAGAGCATAGTCTGGAAGAACACATAGGGTACTCACTTTTGTTTTTTTTTTTAATTCCACGGGGACAGAGTCGCGGGCGAATGCTTGTCACATAATAATATTATCAGTGAGTAACATAGGCTATATTTTTTTTTTAATTTTACGCCGATAAAGTCTCGACCAACCAGCTATATACAATATAGCCAATCGTTTTTATAATCTACATTGCATTAATAAAGGTTTTTATAATGAGATACTTTTAATGAAAACCAGCGCGACACTGGATATCAACCAGTATCGATTTAGTAGCCTCCCCCTTTTGCCATCTGTTACAAATCTAACTAAAACTATACTATTATAATAAAGCGTAAACACACACTTCTTTGTTGCCTAAGATGTCAGCAATTACAGTATATTTTTGATTCATTATTTTTTTTAATAAAAAGCCCTATATTTACGTCACGCTTTAGGCTATATATTTTCACGCCATTAAACTTAGGGGGTAAATATTTTGGATAAAAACCCTAATGTGGAAGAGACCATAAGTTGCTGCCAACATCAAGGAAGCAAGATTGCCATCATGTCATGTCATTTTGACATTTATAATTCATAATTTGACAAATGTAAACAATAAAATAAAATTCTGAAAATTTTCATGCGGATGAAGTCGCACGGGACTAGCTATGTTGTTATATGTGTTGTATAATATTTTTTTTACATAGCAATAAAAAGGTTAAAGAGGTAAATTATTTAGTCCGCCAATGCGCCATAAAACTTGGCATAAAATTTAACGACATTACTCTAATATCTTACTATTGAATAATAAATATAAATAAAGAGCTTTATAAATTCTTTCCAACATTATAACATTCTAAAAAACTTTATTGGAATACCACTTTACAACATAGAAATTCTGTTAAAACAATTACATTTAAATTTAAAATGCAACAGTACCTGTTTCAGGATCATTCTGCTCTTTTCCTTCTTTGTGGTTCATCTCCACTTTCTCACTAGTCTCCTGTTGACCTTTCTCAGTCTGTTCCGGGGATCTCTCCGAGCGATCGGTCATCGTGACCGGTCTTACTTCCTCATGCTCATATGTACCACAGACTATATGTATCAGACTCTCGAGAAACTGGTTTTCTTCTAACCACTGGAATATCAAATAAGAACTCATAATAGTATATTGCTATTCCAACCACTAGAATCTATACTAATATTAAAAAGAAAGATGTTTTTTTGGATTCTAATTCAAAAACTACTGGACTGATTTAAAGAAATCATTCATTACAAAACTATACTATCAGTGTACATAGGCTGTTTTTTTTTTTTGTAATACACGCGGGCGAAGTCACGAGCAACAGCTAGTAATAACATGAAGTTAAGTAGACTAGGCAACTTCACTATGAAACAATGATTTAAACTATGCAGTTTATTCTAATTTATTCACCCCTTTGACTAACGTAAAAACATTTAGCCAGTGTTTCATAAGTATCAAGCTATTTAATAGAAAAAAAACGTATTCAAAAATATGCTGTGATTGCTAACATCCTGTATAAAAGTTATTTACTTTAAACTTTCACTAATTTAACTACAGGGCTACATCAACTCCATAATAAATATACAATAAGTGACTTTATTTTAACTATGACTAAATAAGTTAATAAATAATAATATAACTACACTTACCTCCAAAATAATTTTATTAAAGGGATCATCAAGTCTTATAAAGTATTTGAAAATGTCCGCAATACTTGATGTTGAAATATGTCGTAAGAGGTTTGGCAAGAAATCACGTCTTGATTTAAAAAAATCCAACACTCTGAGGCACACTATATGATAAAGGTACCAATCCTGAAACAGATAATTTAATACATCATACAATCTTACTAAAAGTGGGTGCACACCTTTTGCAACCCATTCAACTGTTTAGTTGCACAACTAAAAATTGAGTAGTGTGCCTCTCCACATCTTACTAATATTATAAATGCGAAAGTTTAGATGGATGGATGGATGTTTGTTAGCGTTTGTAGCTTAAAAGGCTGAACGGATCTCCATGAAATTTGGCACAGGTTTAAAGCATAGTCGGGAAGAACACATAGACTACTTTTTATTCCGGGAATAGTTATGGTTCCCGTGGGATTCATTAATTTAGTTTTTTAATGTTTACATGATCATTCTGCAACGGTTCAATATATCTTATTGAAATTTGGCACAGATATAAAACAAAGTCTGGAGTACATATGGGATAAGCTTCATCCCCGACATATGTCCGGTTCCCGAGGGATACGTAGTTTTTTGTAATTTATATAGTTCGTATGTTTTCCAATAACACGCGGACGAAGTCGCGGGCAACAGCTCGTAAGCTCATAAGAATCAAATTGCAACTAAACAGTTGTGCAATAATGAATTATTTTACGGCTTACTCAGGTCATAATTTTTTCCGGTGATGGCACCAAAAAAGTATGACATGAGTAAGCGGTAAAATAATTAATTATAAAATGTCTCACGAAAGTTTAAATAATTTAGTTGTGCAATAGTTTTGTCAAAGATGTGTGTGTGCTCAAAACTTTAGTTCTCTCTTGGAAAGGTTGACATAAAAAAATTGTGTAACGCAGTAACATAATTTTATACAAATTAATCATCGACAATAGCAGTCAAATAAAACAAAATACCTGTTTAGGACTTTTCTCAAGCAGCATTTCTATAGTTTTACTAAAGTATGATGCAAGTAATGGATTTAACGGTGGATCCTTGTTAACAAAGTCGCAGAGCCTGTTCATCTGCACCGCATCCATTGATAACCGATCACTCAGCATCATCAGCTGGCTGGTGAGGACTTCACTAGCAATGTGCGCATGGCGATACTGGGATGCTAAATCTACATTTTCAGGCGGCTCTTCTGTGATCAGTGTTACCAGTTCTGCTAGGATTTCTGATTTTGTTAAACTGAAATATAAGATAATATTATTTTACTTTTGTGGAAATTTGTCTTCTTCAGAAACTTATGCATGTCTGGTTTCAAAAATATGTATGTACTTATTATCTGTAACAGTTTATCATGGTCAGAAGCATATAGACAGATAGGGTATACATTTTTTAAAACTAGAACTGTAGCTTACTTTACAGTAAATAAACTTGAATTTTCTTACATAGTTTAAATATTCTCGATGAAATTGCAGTGTTAAAGACATGATTGCATATTTGATTTTTTAATTGCTTTGTTGTTTCTTTACATATTAGTAAACTTTGTATTTTTATCAAAAATGATGATTTTTTAATGAAACACAAATTCAAATGAAAAAAAACTCCTATTTCTGCAACTTTGTATGAGTTTATAGGTTAGGTAATAAATATATAGAAAAATACTTACAAGAGCATCAGCGCCTTATTATCAGCCTTACATTCTTGCAGTATATCATCTGCCTCTAACACCTGAGTCAGTGTTACATTCTACAACAAACAATGTCCATTTTAAATACTACAAAATGTACATACACTTCACTAACACATACTACATATTTCAACGCCACTTCTCAGCATGATTAATTTACAAAAAAACACTATCACAACACCTAAAGTTCTTTCCAAACTTATTCATCCATCCATTCATAACCATGAATTCCTGTATCAAAATACGCACCTCCTCTTTAAGGAGATTGTTTAACTCTCTAACAACGATAAAGTTCCCGCTCCAAAACATAATTAAAAGTAATAAGTACAATTTAAATTAATCTAGATCCATAGAAAACTTGGTATTGTACAAATTTAGCGTTTCACCGATAAAAGTGCAACGATCCGTTTTCTGTCTGTCAAACAGCACCAAAGTAGTGTTGCCATTTTTAAGTTTTTTCAAGTCTAGATTCTAGGGTTCTGGACGCCCTATCTACCTGTTCTTTGAATTGAAATAGTTATCGAAATAAAAATAGCCAACGAAAAATGTATGATTTGCATATAACACTTTCAGGTAGTAAGCATCCCGATATTGTTAGAAATTCAAATATCAGCGACTCGACGAATGATCCGTCCACTTTGTTAAACAATTTACTATTTCATGACCCAAGTTGATGATAAAATAGTTAGTTAAGTATACTGGGAACCCAAAAACATTGAATACTATAAATTATGGGATATAATAAAATAATCCATTTTTAAAATTCGTCATTTATTTGTTTTATGATTAGCATAAATAAACAATTGTTATGACTGTAATAACTTCATTGCAAGTGCTTCAGCTTCAACAATAGATAAAGAACCAGATATATCTTTGAGTTTCTTTTTCTTTCGAGGTGCAACACTATCTTGTGGGATACCTTTGCTCTCAACAAGTTTGTGTTTCATAGGCCTGAAAAAACAAAAGGAAATATTAATCAGAAACAACTATTTAATATAGATACTGCAGCTGAAATTTTCAGGAAAAGTTACCTGTGGTATTTATCTTCATCAGAATCACTAACATCTTCTGTATTAGACTGATTATTTTCGCTCCCACTATCTTTTTTGCCATATATTTTATCAGGATCTGGTAACCATGACAAATCTGGTCCGTCAGACTCAGATTGTGATCCAAAATCATCTTGTTCTTCTGCTTCTTCCTTCTTCTTATTTTTAAGCTTACGCTTTTGCTCTTTATGTTTAGCTTTAACTTTTTCTCTGAATCTTATCTTATCAAATTTGTCTTCTTCTTTCAAAACTTCTTTTGCTTTCTCTATATCTATTCCACCAACATTTTCATTAATAAACTGTTTAGCCAAATCGGATTTTACATCTTTCTTTTCATCTTCTATAGCATCACCATCTTCTGTGAATTTTACTTGTGTATTTACTTTAATTTTCTTCTTCAGTAATTTTTTAGCAACTGCAGCTTTTGTCAATGGTTTCTTTTTCTTTTTAGATGTTATATGGTCTTCTTCTTCTATTGGGAGTTTAACATCTACATTAGCTTTTTTAACTTGAAGAAATTCATCCTCTTCACTATCCGCATCATTGTGGAAATCAAATTTAGGTAGTTCTTTTGTGAGTTTTTTTGTTTTCTTATCCTGTGGTGCAGGCTTTTCGTCTTCATCTGAACTTTGATCAGTACCACCATCATTTTCAACTTTTGCTTTTAATTTATCAATAACATCATAATTTTGCTCAACGTCCGGTTCTTTTTTGGGTGGATTATATCCTTTAAGGTTTTTATGTAAGAACCTTATCCTGGGAGGGATTATCAAGCCTAAAGATCTGGCATAAGCATCAGTATCTAGAAGATGAACATTGAAAACTTCTTTATTTTTCATTAAAAATATTGATTTAACATAACTGACAAATGCTCTTTGGGCAGTTTGTTTAAGGTCAGTGTTATCTGAAAGTAATCCTTCAATTTTTCTTTGTGGAGCTACAACTTTAGATGGATCTACTGCTATTTTATTTATTGGAATCTTACTTTTTTTAAGATCCTCAACAATTTTCTCTTCATGTGGCAGAAGCATTAAAAGACCTTCACCTTTTCCTAAAACACCTCTTGCTGTGCGTCCCGCTCTATGTATATATGTTTCAACATCTTCTGGACAATCCATTTGAATTACCCAGTTCACACGAGGGAAATCTAAACCTCTTGAGGCCAAATCAGTAGCAAACAAGACTACATTCGACTTTCTACAAAATTCATTGTAAATTCTCTCCCTTTTTTCTTGATGCAATGTACCATACAGAGCTAACAAGCTAACTCCTGGCCTCAATTTACAAAACAAATCATATGTATATTTTACTTGTTTGCAGGTAGCCATGAAGACTAACACCTTTTGCTTTAAATGATTCCTAATGAATGACCATAATATGCCTATTTTCTCATCTATCTCACAGACTATATAACTTTGTTGTAAGGATTCTGGAGTCACGGTTTCTGCTTGTTCATGAGGAGCGACATAGGTAGGGAAGGATAAACTCAATCTTGCTAAATCTTTAACAGATTTAGTTTGAGTTGCAGAGAATAATAATGTTTGACGCTCCTGTGGTAAGTTTTCTATAATAGCATTCATGGTTGTTTCAAATCCCATATCTAAGCATCTATCCGCTTCATCCAATACAAGTATTTGGAGATGACTACAATCAAAAAGTGGATTTTCATCCATATGCTGAAGAAGTCTACCTGGTGTACATATTAAAATGTTAATTTGATCCATTCTTTTCCTTTCAAATTTAAGATTCTGCCCGCCTATGATTAAACCAGCTGAAAAATCATGTAGCCCACCTACTTTTCTCAATGTTTCATAAATCTGATATGCTAATTCTCTTGTTGGTGAAATAACTAGTGCACCAACGCCATCGAGCCGAGTCCATTTTTTACAAAATAAATTTTCTAAGATTGGTATTAAAAATGCTAATGTTTTCCCGGAGCCAGTTTTTGCCGCACCTAAAATATCTTTGCCTTGTAAAGCATATCCGATTGCTTGTCGTTGTATTTCGGTTGGTGTAACGTAATTATTGTCTTTTAAACCTTTTAATGTTTTTTGAGACAGGGGGAAGTCTTTGAATGTTTTGACAGCGTCTGGATTTATCTGTAACAATTACATAAATCATTGGTAGTGGCAGCTCCAACAGTCAATGCTTTTAAAAATAGATTAGACAATCTTAAAATCTCCGAGCTATACAACACACACGCATCAGCTACTAGCTGCTAGTGTGTCACCCAAAATAATAAATTATTTTAGAACCTAATGATATTCATAGGAATAGTTAGTATAGAGTAAGGAAATAGAAGATTAATAATATTACCTTGTCATATTGAGCCTGTAAATATTGGATTGCTCCATCTTCTTCGCTGCTTTTCTTCTTTTTAGGTTTGTACAACTTGAATTTGTCCTTTTTAGACTTTTTCTGTTTAGCTTTTTCTTCAGGATTATTCTGTTTCATTGTGATTTTAGAGTTTTAATGTTTATAACATAATTTTACACAAGCAGTTTAAGCACATGTACATGACATTTAAAGTTTGACAATTGACAGATTGACAGCAGTCCTAATCCGCTGCGGGAGAGCCATAAACAAGAAATAGAATAGAATGGAATAGAATAGACAGCAGTTCAGCAAGATTCATTTTTTAGGATTTTATGGCCTGGCTACGAGCTTTTTGAAGCCACGAAAGTTCATTAGTGGTCATGGATCAAAAGGTAACTTGTACTCTTCTCTTTATCAATAACCTTTGGCTTTTCTTATTTAAAATATGCATAAGATCGTTACCATATTGGCGAAAATAAATTATAATCATTTATATACACATAATTACTTATCTATTACACGTGTAAAAATACTTTGTTATCAGGAAAAAAGACATTGCGAAAATAATTCTTTTACTTGCATTACTTGCATTACTTGCATTGTTTGCATTATTCTTTTGCTTGCATTACATTAATTTTCGTTAAACATACTAAGATAATTTATTTACCTCATAAGGTATAATTCACAAACAATACGAAAAAAAACCTTTTCGTAATTAAATTTTTTTTTATCATTAGGTAGCCTGAATCCGCCGTAATGGCAAAGCGATCGTGGTCCATAGAGATCCGCAATGTGATGCGTTGCCTACCCATTATCGACATAGGATGAGACGCACATGAAGAGGATATTTCCACTTACTAAGCGTCTCCTCCGTCGCCAAATCCACTTTCGCCTACCATCCTTTCCTCATAAGAAAAGGAAGGAAAACAAAAGGAACTAAAACTGCGCCTGCGGCTCATACATCACTCTTGTCTTCTGTGTGGAACGAAGATGTTAAAACAGGCTTTACCAACTTTTATTTTAAATCAACATGTTTTTTCGAACTCTCAATAGCATAGTTATAACGGTTAACGATGTACGGTTTATGCAAGATTTAACGCTAAATGCCCATCACTATGTAATGTCAAACTCGCGTTGAATGCTGAACGGTGATTCAGTGATTTTGTTCGTTCTCCTTTATCTATCGCGTTTATAATTAATTTTCCTCAAAAGAATTCTACCGTCTGTGGGGAACGGACAACACTCTTTACTCCCTATTGTTAATTACGTCGTTCCTACAATTTAAAAAGTTTTAATTGTCTTTATTATATTCTAGAGTACTTAAGGTAAGTTTTTACGTTGCTTTCAATGCTTTGTTTTCTTTTTGTATGAAGTAAACTCTATAGATTTGGTAGATAGTTGATTAGATATCGTTTCTTTGTTTGTTTCATTCATGTCGACTGATTGTTGCGTAGTAAGGAAACATAATTTGTAAACATAAATGCTATCCCTAACTTATGAATTTTCTAACAATACTACGATTTTAATTGCCAATGTCTTGAAACAAATATTTTAGTTTTAAGTGGTTACCTATTACATTCGATTGTGTCTTCGAAATATTAATATTTTAAACAGTAATTTCTTTTATTTATTATTTTTACGGTGAATTTAATACTTGTTTGAAAATATTTTACGGGCGTAATTAGACTTCGTAAATAAATCAGGTTATTTTATTGTTGTACGCTTTGTCGATTTTTGTTTTGCACACATCTAGTAAACAAAAAACAGCTAACATTTTAGGATCAATAATATTTATGTCAGATAATATTTTTTTTTAATTTCTATGAATTTATAAACTGACGGTATTTTAAAAAATTAAAGCTATCTCATACGACGACATCTTTACGATATTTGTGACATGATGCAAATCAGAGGCAACAAAAATATAAAAAAAACTAGCTTTTGCCCGCGACTCCGTCCGCGTGAAATTTAAAAATAAAAATAAAGAAATGAAAAAATATATAATATCACCTATGTTACTCACAGATAAATAACCTTTCTAACGGTGAAAGAATTTTTAAAATCGGCACAATAGTTTTTGAGCCTATTCATTACAAACAAACAAAGTTTTCGTCTTTATAATATTAGTATAGATAAAGGTAGTTCTCTAACGTACTATAAAAATAACTTGGGAGTTCCTGTGACCTAACTTCCAAGCGGCTGTCAATGATTTTGTTCCAGGTTCACGATGAGAGGTTTGGTAGTACTGATGTGCGTGGTGGCCGCGGCCAGCGCTGTCTCATTCTTCGACCTGGTCAAGGAAGAATGGAATGCTTTTAAGGTACGAGCACTCAAATATACTTAAAATGAAATTTCCTATTGTTTTTTTGTCTCTATTGGTCATAGCTTTTAAAATTTACGGGAGTTTGTCGTCGTATTCTAATGCCAGCCCTGTACTATGTACATTCGGGGAAACTGTGTTCCAAAAAGCAATCGTTTGAACATTTTGAAACGAGACACGGAACAAAAATACAACGCAGCTTATAAATGTCTGTACAAAAAAAGTCTGTTAGAGTTTCACGGCTAGTTTCTTTTGATTATTATACATTTGCACTCACTGCTATCTAATTATTTGTAAGAAGAGGTGAAGTTTGTGTAATGAACAAGGAACAACCTAAAGTGGAATACCGCGGAGTTCCGTTATTTTTTATGATAAGGTGGCAAACGAGCATCCGGCCAACTGAATCCGCCAAAATGGCGAAGTCACCGCTGCCCACTGCACATTCGCAGTAACGGATGCGTTGCCTACCCTTAATCGAAGGAGGAGGAACGCACGTAACGAGAAACATTCCCTTCCTATGCGTCTCCTTCATCGTCAAGACTACGTTCTCTTCTCATCCTTTTCTTATAGGAAAAACGGACTAAAGTTGGGCATCCATGACTATAATAATGAGTCTTTTGTCCTTTTCTAGATGGAGCATCAGAAACAATACGATAGCGAAGTAGAGGATAAGTTCAGGATGAAGATATACGCAGAGAACAAGCACAAGATAGCCAAGCACAACCAGAAGTTCGCGCGAGGTCAGGTCCCGTTCAGAGTGAAGCAGAACAAGTATGGAGACATGTTGCACCATGAGTTCGTACACACCATGAACGGATTCAATAAGACAACTAAGTAAGTACATGTATTAAAACTATCTAAATATATTATAATCGAAACATCCCTATTTTCTGTAAATACTAAACCCCTAATCATCTAATGTTACTTCTTACTAATATTATAAATGCGAAAGTTTAGATAGATGGATGATTGTTAGAGTTTGTAGCCTAAACGGCTGAACGAATCTCGATGAAATTTGTCATACATGTAGAGGGCGGTCTGAAAGAACACATATGCTACTCACTTTTGGTTTATTTAATTCCACGCGGACGGAGCCGCGGGCAAAAGCTAGTATATTATAATCTAAACATCCCTATTTTCTGTAAATACTAAAGCCCACATCATAGTAGGGTACAATTCTAATCTTCTTACTAATATTATAAATGCGAAATTTTAGATGGATGGATGGTTGTTTCTTAGAGTTTGTAGCCTAAACGGCAGAACGGATCTCGATAAAATTGATGTAGAGGATAGTCTGGGAGAACACGTAGGTTACTTAGTTTTGTTTTTTTTTTAAATTCTACGCGGTGGGAATCGCGGGCGAAAGCTAATAAACAATAAATTATCCATTCCAAATCAATTAACAGATACATTATATTAATAGCTTTCTTTTATTATTTAATTATTAATAAAAATTGATTCCCAACTCAACCCGGCAATAACAGTACAATAAACTTTGCAATAATAATAACTATTGCCCTCATTATGATACGCATTATCTCTTATTCACGTGACATTTATCACGACGAAGTGTTTGACCCTAGGGTCTTTCGACCTAATGAAACTCCGTAGTTTGTTTACTATCACCAGCGTGAATGCGTAGATATATTACATCTAGCTGTTGATGTTTTACACTAGTACAGTGATTCTCAAAATAGTCCAGACCTCTAGGAGGTCACGGAAACTCTGACGGAGGTCCACGATCGCTGGAAACTATATTAGTGGTCAACAGTTTTGAGTTTACGAGATTTACGCTAAGCCATCTGCGCTCGGCCACCTCAAACCCGGTGAATCTGTAAATGCCTCTTCAAGGCAAACAACACAAAGAAATATTCAGTTTCAAATACTGAATGCTCGCTGTTAGTTGCGTGTACCACCAACATGTTTAAAAATCAACAAAATGTTTAACAAACATCTCTATTGAATGTTTCTGCACCCTCCACCTTCTTAAATAAAAATTGGCAGCATTTATAGTAATAATACTGGTGAGGAAATACGTTAGGAAATCTTTGCTTAGTATGGTATTATGAAATTTTTATTGTCTTGTGGTAATGAGGTTACTTGACTCGTATTTAACCCCAGAGTCAAAGATCCATAGGTGGAATTAATTGGACTTAAATTTTCCTTAGTAATTTTTGTGACTAAAATTAAATTGCACTGGTTTTAAATTTAGACGTTCATTGACTTGAGATTTTGCATAAAAATTTCAATTTAGACTTGTTAAGAAACCCTTTTTTTATCTAAAAAATACTAATTGAATTAAAATGTTTACTTTATTAGTTTTGGGATTTAACGATTAGAAACCGGTGTTTATTTACGATGTAAGAAATGCTTTGATACGGTTTATCACATATGGTTTTGATAATTTGTAATACGATATGTTTGTTTATTTGCACTGATTTGTAAGCATCCGGAGGGCGGATACAACTGCACAATGGCCATTAGTCATCGCATCGGGTTTACCAGACTTTATAACACTAGCTGTTTCCGTGCGGCTTCATCTGCATGAAATTGTGAAAATTTTATTTCATTGTTTACATTTCTCTAATTATCAACAGCAAATGTCAAAATGACATGACATGAAAAACCTTGACAGTTTTGCTGCCTTGATGTTGGCAGCAACTTATGGTCTCTTTCCCACATTAGGGTTTTTATCCAAAATATTTAAATCCTAAGTTTAATGGCGTGAAAGTATATAGATTACAGCGTGACGCAAGTGTAGGGTTTTTTATTATAGAAATAAGTATTCAAAAATATGCTGTAACTACTGACATCTTAGGCAACGAAGAAGTATGTGTTTACGCTTTATTATAATATATGTAATATAGTATATAGTATAGACATAGATGTACAAAGGTCCTGACACGCTTTAATTTTACTCCTCTACTCTCCATTGTCATCAAATCCTTCTAAATTAGAAGTGACTAAAGAGGTGCCCAGAGGTGTGAACAACATGCTTGACTAATCAGGATTGGTTGACTTACACACTTGACGATGTTTTCCTTTTACAGTTTTAATTAAATCTATAAAATATTTTTTTTATAACTGGCAGGCTATCTTTAAACTTTAAAGTACTTCTAAAAACTCGAAAAACTTTTATTATTGTTTCCTATTTGATGACAAAATCGATAAGCATGCGACACACATCACGTACTTAATAATAAATTATAAAGAGTAATTTATCACGTAAACGAGATTAGCGTGACGAAATAGTACGCTTATCGCATTAGCAGCGGTTTGATATGCGTTTCCGAATTGTTATTGACAATCAATCATGTTATACTGGAGTAGGTTAACTAACGAATTTATCAGTTTAACCTCGTATAAAATAACTTCTGTCTTTTGACGTCTAGAATAGAAAAGAGCAAGCGGCCACGTGGATCCGCCGACCGCTGCCCATAAACAACCGGATGTGTTGCCTACCCTTAATTGACGGAGGAGTAGACGCACATATAGAGGACATTTCACCTTTCTATGCGTCTCCTCCACCGCCAAATAAACTTTTCTTTGCCATCCTTTCCTCTTAAGAAAAGGGTGGAAAGGGAAAGGGACAAAAATTAGGCCTCCGGCACCACACTCATCAGACAAAACGCGGGATTGCTCCCACTTCATGCCTGTCTTCTGTGTGGTCGTGGTATTACACTGGGCTAGCCGGCCCATTCGTGCGAAGATGTTAAAGAGAGAAGGAGCCAGCTGAAAATCAGCGCAAGAACGGCTTAGTCCCTCCTGCATAGCTGGCTTCCTTTAGCCACGATTTTCATTAGAATAAGTGCGTTTATGTATTGGATTTGGATAATCTTTGATGTCGATCGAATCGCGCGTCAATTGGGTACTTTTGAACCCATAGTTCGAAAAGATGGACACAATCAATACAGGTCAATATTATCTTGTGCAGAAACGGCAAAGGCCTGTTCGGCAAGAGCGCGGGCGAGCGCGGCGCAACCTTCATCCCGCCAGCGAACGTGCGTGTGCCCGACCATGTGGATTGGCGCAAACACGGTGCAGTCACTGAAGTCAAGGACCAGGGCAAATGCGGTTCATGCTGGTCTTTCAGCGCGGTGAGTACAATAATATTCAAATGTCTTTGCAGCTCTGAAATTCCTACAAGTCGCTGAACAAAACATAATTTTAGGTGTGGTGGTTAAAACTACCGATACCATAGGTCTTTTATGTGGCTTGAATCGTAAATTAGATTAGTCCACTTCACTTATAACACATAAATAAATACCTAACAAAAAACTTCGTAGAATTCATGTTATTTCGAGTTACATTTCTTAAGAGATTTCCTGAGTGGCTCTTTTTCTTAAATGGTTTTTCTTAAATGGTTAAGTGTGGTAAAGTTTATTTCATTCAAGACTTCTAGAAAGAATCCAACAAGTTACGACATTGTAGTTGTTTAATCCAATTAAGTTAACAGCTAAGTTTTTAACGTTAAATTATTTTATCAAGCACAACGGAAACGTATTCAAATTAAATTATTGCAATCAGTCTAGTTTCTATAAAACATTTTTATTTAAAACCCATAGAAAAATGTTTCTACGGATGATTTCATTTCTCGTTAAAATATCTCATTTTACAACTCATATGAATTTCAACCTTACGACCTTAGTAATAGTGGAAAATATACAATAAATGTATCTCCACCGCATCAGGTGATCATCTCATAAACTGGTTTTGAAAGTTTTTGCTGCTATCGGTGTTGGGAACGTGCATCCATATAAATATAATATAGTTGTATCAAAACGGTTCAACGTCAATGTTTATTTAAATTGGGCGTTATTTTTAACGTTAAAATATTGCCCATCACTAAAAAAATTGCACTTATTTTTCTGTTATATAATTCCTACAGATAACTAATAATTTATTTTTTGCCTAAATATGTTTTATTGATGGATATTATTAAATTATTTGCCTAATGTTGCTTTTACACTTGTTAAATTGTTGGTAGTATAGTTTTTTATTTGTTTGACGACGGTAACACGTATAACGATGGTCTTTTTTTACCTTGAAATTGTATTGGAATATGATTTTCCTCATTCTAGTATTACAAATGAACAAAACAAAACAAAGATATATGTAGTGTAGGTATGTCAATATTTACATATTTTCTGTTAGTATATTGTAGTTGTAAATATCGAAAAAATTGTGAACAATCTTATAAAGTTTGCTATTAATCTAATAGAGTTCGGTAATAATTTACTAAATTATAACTAGGTATATTGTAATTTTGCGTATAAATCTAGGCATACTTAAGTGGTATTCATTGCTTTTCTTAAAAGGTAAAAAAACGCTGTATCAGTATTGTTTTTACTATTGTTCTAAATTCAAATTGATTCTAAGAATGATGACTGTTATTCTTTGCCGAATGTTATTTTTTTGTTTGTGTGTTCTAAATTCAAATGACGAAGTGTAAATAATTTTTATTTGCCAGTAATTTGCCCATTGTATTTTCAATTTGGGTGCGTTCGTGTTTACCAAGTCGATTTATGAAAATTAAATGAATGTTTTAGGCAGAAAACAATACAATTTCATTATAAAACCTTTCTGATGTTTGAACAAATGTTTCGTTGACCTGTTATTAACGTTGGCCAAACATCACACTATGTAACGACCCGGTTAGATGCAATTATTCATCGAGCTGAGTCATTTAGATTATTTACTTTATTGTACATAACGCGTTACTTATGTCCGGAACAGACGCGTGTTAGTCACACATGTAACAATACATTTAAAAGTATATAATATTAAAACAAATGCATAACTAAGCTCCGATTACATTTTTAAAACGATACTTAATAGTAATTTATGGTCAACTAGCTTTTGCTTGCGACTTCTCCTGCGTGAAATTAAAAAAATAATAAAAACAAAGCCTATGTTACTTACTGATTAGTTTTGTAATGGTGAAAGAATTTTAGAAATCGGCCCAGTATTTTTTGAGTTATTGCAATACATACAAATATACAAAATTTCCTCTTTATAATATTAGTATACAGATTTCTTTTGACGTCATTTTTTAATATAAATAATGTAAAAAATCTTACGCCGTCTGTAGATTGTATTTATCGCCAGTTACCACTGACACTGGGCCAGTTGATTGTCAGTCCAGTTATTGACCGTACTGGCGAAGTGTGAACCGCGCATTACATGTTTTTGAACACATTTTTATATTTAAGGTAACTAAATGAGTTACCTTGAAACTTAGTTTGTTGGTCACGTGCTAGGTCAGCGGTGTACATGACCATCGTGACTTAGAGTGCAAAGATCATCTATTTAATTAGATCGTACGACGGTTTATCTAATTTAGACGCAGGTAAAATGATTAATAAATCAGCAAAATTAATACTGTACACTTCACTACTCTTCGTCCACCTTTAAGGCCTTAACCACGCTAGCCCAATGATGGTTGACTTTTTTTTTATTATATAAGGAAGCAAACGAGCAAGCGGCCACCTAAATACACCAAAATGGAAAGCAACCGCTGCCCATAGACATCCACAATTGTAGATGCGTTGCCTCTCCTTAACTGGCGGAGGAGGAGACGCACATAAACAGATTTCCCCTTCCTATGCGTCTCCTCCACCGTCAAATCCACTTTTCCTTTCCATCCTTTCCTCTTAAGAAAAGGGTGGAAAGGGAAAGGGACAAAAATTAGGCCTCCAGCACCACACTCATCAGACAAAACGTGGGATTGCTCCCACTTCATGCCTGTCTTCTGTGTGGTCGTGGTATTACACCGGACTAGCCGGCCCATTCGTGCGAGGATGTTAAAGCGGGCTCTACCACTGTTAAATATTCTGTGACGTCACATCCTCGGACACCATCCTCGGACAAAAAGGGTGAAAAGGGAAAAGGACTAAAAATAGACCTCCGGACTTCGTACATTTTTGAATTTCTTGTGTTTTCCTTCACCGTAAGAACTTCATATGAAATTCGAAACTCATTGGTTGCCGAGATTCGAACCTAGGACTTGTAGACAAGTTAACTGAGCTATTAATACAAGTTATTTACAAATATGTGGGTGAAGTATAATAGCTTCTTTGTTATAGTTTACAGGAAGTAGGCCGAAGTTTGTCATTGCCGTCTTTGTACTCGTTTTATTTATACAGTAAATATTTTGAACACAAAGAAACAGTTCATTGACATCCTGTGAATGTTATTGTAGTATCATATTCACATATATATAACTGTATTTACATTAGAAGTATTATTTAAGTTAGAAATATCAATAAGAGAATTATCAGAAACTAGCTGTTCCCCTGCGGCTTCATCCGCATGAAATCATGAAAATTTTATTTTATTGTTTACATTTGTGAAATTATCAATAGCAAATGTCAAAATGACATGACAATACATACCTTGGCAATCTTGCTTTCTTGATGTTGGCAGCAACTTCTGGTCTCTTTCCCACATTAAGGTTTTTATCCAAAATATTTACCCCCTAAGTTTAATGGCGTGAAAATATATAGCCTAAAGCGTGATGTAAGTGTAGGGCTTTTTATTAAAAAAAAGGAGTATTCAAAAATATGCTGTGATTGCTGACATCTTAGGCAACAACGAAGTGTGTGTTTACGCTTTATTATAATAGTATAGATGAGTTTGTTTAGAGCGGGCGCACATATTTGACTTATCGCACTGTTGTGTGATTGTCGATTGTTTCGACAATTCAACTGTTTAGTTGCACAACTAAAAATCGAGTAGTATGCGCACCTATAAGCTCGTAGGAATCAAAGCGAAACTTAAGTTTTAGGTGTGTGCACACTAAATCTTAGTTGATTTTGAGTTTTCATTTTGTAGTGAACTTAAAATTCTTTCACAATCTTATCTTACTTCTTACTAATATTATAAATGCGAAAGTTTAGATAGATGGATGTTTGTTAGAGTTTGTAGCCTAAACGACTGAACGGATCTTGGTGGAATTTGGCATAGACGTAGAGGATAGTCTGGAAGAACACATAGGCTACTCACTTGTGTTTTTTTTTTTAATTCCAAGCTAACGGAGTCGCGCGCGAAAGCTAGTAGTTTATAAAAAATAGCTGAGATTATTGCATTTCGAATTATTGTTAAACTGTTTAAAATTCATGTCCTCTTTGTAATATTTTAAACCATTAATTTAATTGGAACTAGTGATGTTAATTTAAACACTCCACTAGAGATCTCGTCAGGAATGTGCGCGAATATTGCAATCCTTCTAATGACAATGACATCTGTCAGCTAGGGACGTGACGTTTATACCGATAATCTAGTGTTGCGCCAATTCTACAGCACGGTACTAATTTTTCATCTTAACAAATATTAGTATAGTTAAAATATTGATTTCCAATGCTTTGTTCTCCAGACGGGCGCATTGGAGGGTCAGCACTACCGCCATACCAACATCCTGGTCTCCCTATCGGAGCAGAACTTGATCGACTGTTCCACGGCGTACGGGAACAATGGCTGCAACGGTGGTCTTATGGACAACGCCTTTAAATACATTAAGGATAATAAAGGAATTGATACTGAGAAGAGTTACCCGTATGAGGCTGTTGATGATAAATGCAGGTGAGTTTGTTTTCTTCTATGGGGTTCTGATGCTCTAGGGGGGTGGCTAGCATGATGAATTAATTAAATATATATTTCATAAATTTCGCTGGTGTTGATGCTATAAGATCCGAACAGCAAAAAAATAAATTAAACACCTTTTTTTCCATCAATTGATTTGGTGTTATGGGTTCAGTCTTTAGGAGTTCCGTAGTCTTGATTTCTTTATTTGAACCCTACACATGAACACATGTTTTCACTGTATAGATGCGTCTAAGTGACCGTTATGTCTTGATTCTAATTTAGGTGTCATATGTACTTTAAAAAACACAGGTGACATATGTTTCCAGATACAACCCTAGGAACTCCGGCGCTGACGATGTGGGCTTCATCGACATCCCGTCAGGAGACGAGGGCAAGCTGATGGCGGCGGTGGCCACGGTCGGCCCTGTCTCCGTCGCCATCGACGCCTCGCAGGAGACCTTCCAGTTCTACTCCGACGGCGTCTACTTCGATGAGAACTGCTCCTCCACATCCCTCGACCATGGCGTGAGTATACACATTGTTTAAAATCAGCCTGAAATACTTTTACATGAGACTTAGGGGGACATAAGAGCGAATTACTTTTGCATAACATTCCTGACACCCCCTTAATCATAGTTTAAAAAGGGGGTGCCAAAGAAAGGATGGAAAGAGGAAATGAATTTGGCAAACGATGGCACGCATAGGTACAGGAAACATCTTTATATACGTCCTCTTCATTAATTAAACACGCTTCTGAAATTCGCTAAAATGGCGAAACAACTTTCGCTATTTTGACGAATTTCACTCCTTAACAATTGTAATCCATCCGCAGGTGCTGGTGGTGGGTTACGGCACTGACGAGAACGGCGGCGACTACTGGCTCGTGAAGAACTCCTGGGGCCGCTCCTGGGGAGACCTCGGATATATTAAAATGGCGCGCAACCGCGACAACCACTGTGGTATCGCCACCGCCGCTTCTTTCCCCCTCGTGTAAACACCACACCCACAACCCCACATCCCACTACATCCCCTATGAACCAAATGTCAAAGTAGTATCGAAATAATCTCAAACGCCGCTAAATCTATTTAGTCAAAACTATATTTTTTAATCTTTAATCAAATATTTGACAATTATTTCCAACTTGTTACTGTATTTTTTCAAATGTCCCCCTTTATAAAAGAAAATAGTTTTTTAAAAACCCAAAGAACCCACTTATCTAGTAATAATCACTAGTACAATTGTCTCAGAAAAACTTATTTGATTAAGGGTTAATTTTACAGTTAAAGGTAAAGAATTACTTACGTACAGTTTTACAAAATAACTTAGACTTAAATTAACTCTAACGAAGTTATGTTTTGAGCAATTTTTTTGTCCGTGCCCACTGCGTCCAAGAATTGACAAAAAATGTCAAATATTTGTGACAGCCAATCAGATGGCTGCAATTTTGACAGTAGCTTGACAGTTCTGGTTCAATATTCCCCTTTCACCTAAGAAGCATGCTTGTTTACCCGATTTATATGATTTTCTTTAATTATTCATATAATACCAATAAAGAGACCAAAATATTTTTTTTCGAGATATTATTATAAGAGAAAGATATAATTTAAGATGAAATGCTACGACATACTAAAGTACATACAAATCACAATTTAGTTTTAATTATTTTGGTTTGTGTTGTTTATTTTTAATAGAAAATAACTGAAATATCAGTGATTTTTAGTTAGAAAATTCTGTATAAGTCGTAGATTTGAATTTAGAATAATTAATATGAAAAAAAATTGTAATTATTTTATTATTGACTATTATGTGTTAAGCAATAAAAAAATCTCAAAAATAATTAAAAATTAAACCATGACACTCGTATCTAACATTCCGTATTAAAGTATTTAGTTGAGATGAGGTAAAAAATGTAGTTTTTCGGCATTTCAATGACTTTGTGATAAAAATAAGATTCGGATGTTATGTAAGATATAAATAATAAAGATGTGTTAATTATATTTTGTTTCTTTTTAACCCTAAAGTTGTTTATTTTTAAATATTAACAAAGATTTTGTTTAAACCCGATTCCACGAGAAACAAAAACACTCATACTTACTAATATTATAAATGCAAAAGTTTAGATGGATGGATGTTTGTTAGAGTTTGTAGCCAAAACAGTTAAACGGATTTCGATGAAATTTGGTATAGATATAGAGGATAGTCTAGAAGAATACATAGGCTTCTTGCTTTTGTTTTTTTTTTAATTCTACACGGACGGAGTTGCGACAGTTAGTCACAGTATATTTTTGAATCCTTTTTTTATAAAATATTTACACTTACGACACGTTATAGACTATATGTTTTACGCTATTTAATTTAATTGCAGCAAAGATGCCTCTTTCCTGCTGGATTGCCATTGTAACGGTAATTGTTAGCCAATAACAAAATCTTTATCATTTAAGCATTTAGGAATTATAAAATAAAACTTTTATAGATAGAGAACAATAATTTATTTTTATAATATGCGGATGAAGCCACACGGGGACAGCTTATAACAAATCGCTTAATGGCAATTTGTCGAATCTTCTGGCAACTCTAGCATTTTTCTCTCAAAAATTCGTCCTAAACTTCTTTTCATGCAAAACATTTAATTTCTTTTCTTATAATAAATAACGTACACAATAAATACTGTATTATTTAAATCACAATAATATTAACAATGAATTATCTATGTACATAATATTTCCTTTATCGTAACATAACAAGCACGTGACTGACAGACTAGACTAGAGGTCACGGGGTCATAGAACTGCGATGTATATTGCCAGGGTTACCATATTTACATAATGTGATCTAAAAAACTCTTATCTAATTATAAAAAGGAGTATTTTTTTTAACTGAAAGATCCATTTATTGTGTTTTGAATTGTAATTATTATTGCGAAGCATTTCGGACTAACAAGACGTCACTACCTAAATTATTGAAAGAAAACAGCGCAAAGGAGATATTTCTCCAATAGCGTTAGAACTCTATCATTGCTCGATTGTATTATATGAGAAAATAAGATATGTTTACAACAAAGTAATCTAATCTAGTCTATTATAAAGAGAAAAGATATGCATTTTTGGATTTTTGTAATGAAATAGATCAAAAACTACTTAGCCGATTTCATAAAATCTTTCACTATTAAAAAGCTACGTTATCGCTGAGTAACAGGCTACATTTTTAAATTTAACATGGACGAAGTCGCGAGTAACAGCTAGTAATCAATATAATGCTTAAAAAACACTATCATTTCATACCTACATATGTCATGTTTCGACAGCTTGAAATGCCACAAGCGGCGGACTGCGGTGCCGCAGGACTTTTTAAACAAAGAAAAAAAACCATACAGATTGAGTAGTTACCTCCTTCTTTTGGGAAGTCGGTCAAAAATTAATTTATACTTTTACTATTACGTAATAAATTTATACAGAAGTTATAAGTTTAGTGATAATTATACATAGGATAAAGGTAATGGGGCAAACCGCATGTTACAGGCATTTAAAATACCTAATTAAATTATGATATGTGCCGTCATCATTTTACTTTCCTTCCCGTTAAAATTGTCCTGGAAATTGTATGCATTATGTTTGCATTTACAGTGCGATTACAGGTTACAATTTTTTTTAGCAAATGGCGGCAAAGCGACCTATATTTGCGAAATTATATCTGGTTATAGAGACACGTAAGTTAAAGGTTGAGTTTAAAATCCAAGGCATACAGCTAGTTTATGCAATTAAAAATTGTTCTCCATTATTCAGAATACACTGTTATAATTGGATGTAATGGAAAGAGGAAAGATTTGTATTTTTGTATGATGCATAAACTCAAAATCGACTGTATTGATTACAAAAATTAGAAAGCATTATCATTGAATAACATAGGCTACATTTATTATTAGTTTTTGTTTAAATTCCGCGCGGACGAAGTCGCGATCAAACGCTATTAATTATTATTTATAAATAAATTAATGTTGTTAAATAAACTATCCTACTGTTTGTTGTTATTATATTAATAATATTACTGTTGGCCAAAGGGTTACAAAGGGTAGCTGACTTGTATAGGCATATTATAGGTTACTTTTTTAAATTCCGCGCTGTCGAAATTGCGTAACTGGTGATCCAAATTTGCACTAACGAAGTTTGCGGACGACAGCTCGTTGCTTCATAAAATGAGAATTAGATATTTTAGATGTACATATATATAGACCTAGTTATAGGCCATTAATCCGGATGGAGTCAGTAACTATTAATGATATTACTGTTAGCCAAAAAATTTTTTATTTTTGATTAAAATAATACCTTTACTTATGGGTGTCTCCAGGAAGCCCTTTGCCCTTTTCTAAACAATAGAAACGTGTACAACAAACTAGACAATTTTAATTATAGTTACCCCCTCACCCTAGGCGTACCTAGATTTTTAGATTATCTCACTAAGCCTTTACGGTCTTTTTCTCCTCGTTCATATGTGTTCCAACAAGAAAAATCTATTCAAATATTATTTTTCGTTTTTATTTTTATCAATGTTTTGATGAAACTAAATAAAATATTTAACTATTTATATGTCACGTAATTTGATAAGAGGTTAAAGGGTGACACGGTTTTTTTGGTTATAAAATGTAGGTTAACATATTATTACTTACTATGATTTAAATTGGATATTTGTTATCATTACTTCATAAAATTAAATTTAGATATTTCAGGTGTATATTATAACGAGGCCCATAATCCCGGCGGGGTCACTAACTAGTCCAAATTGAGGTAGGGCAAATGGTTACAAATAGTGCAGAAGTAAAGTGCATTTTCACATATCTCTCTAATTACCATGCTTTGATCTAAATTATATTGTCCTGTCATCATTTGGGAACCTCTGATATGTTTCCATTTTCCCTTTTCCCCTTAAATAAAATTTAGTTATTACAAACTGTTACTTGTATATTTAACGCTGTGGAAGTTAGATCTATATTAAAGTAAGTATATTATTTATAATAATCAATTTAATTTATTTATAGTAGTTCTTAAAGTCCAGTGGCAAGTTATATTAAATTATTTACTTTAACAAAAAGTAATTTGTGATTTTAATTCACGATTTTATTGTCCACCTAAAAATATATTATTTCGAGGTCTGTATGTTTATTATTTTGTATAATACAGATTAAACGTAGTGTTAGAACTATAGTTAGAGGAGTTTGTTGATACTTTATGTTGTCTTAACCAAGTTGTTTATGTTTCAGACACGAAGATGATTTTCGTAAGCGTAGTGTTGATAGCGGGGGTCAGTGCGATGTCAATAGATTTACTGCAAGATGAATGGAACACTTTTAAGGTTAGATTAATTGTTAAATATAGGTTCCAGGTTACTGCAGAGCGTTACAAAAGTAGCAACCCTCCTCAAGTATGCCCTACTTAATAATTCTGTATTTTACATCAGTGAAGTGCGTAGCGAGATTAAGAGCGCACACCTTTGACTAAACTATCGACCAACTGTTTGGTCTCGCTTTGATTCCTATAAGCTTATATGGAGGTGCGCACACTACTCGATTTTTAGTTGTGCAACTAAACAATTGAATTGTCGAAAAAATCGACAATGACACAACAGTTGTCCTGTTTTGTTAAAGTTTTGCGCTCACTGTAACTCACACTTACTTTTTTGTTCACCCTCATTCGAAAACTCTTTAATATTTAAAATAAAAGTGCACATTGTACTTGAACCAAGTCAGCAGTTCTTTTACAGATAAATATTCTAGTAAGTCCACTTGGATATGGTTTAGTTTGCGCCCTTTATTACTTAGATTAAATGCATTATAGATTACTTGCTGAAGGAAAACTTCGTGAAGCAATCTGCACATATCGGCGAAGAAATTTAAAAGATATGTGAAGTCTACCTGCAGTGCAGCGTGGTTGACTATAGCCTAGTCACCCCTTATTAGGATAGGCTTCGAGCCACGGGCGGATCCAGCTTTAGCGCCAGGGGGGTCACATAGTCGTGGTCAAGTCAAAAGCTTGACATAAGATATAAATATATCATGACCCCCTCACCTGGATCCGCCATTGCTTCGAGCCCCTTAGTGGGGACGTATTGTGAGCTGGTGATGGTGATTAATGGTTGATACTTTTCTTTCCTAGCTAAAACATGGTAAAAAGTATGACCCCTTAGAAGAACATCACCGCAAGCAGGTCTTCCTGTATAACAAACATATCGTAGAAGAACACAATCAACGCTACCTGCGCGGAGAGACCACATATTACATGAGAATAAACGAATTCTCCGATTACTTTGATACGGAAATTAATAATTCATTGTACGGATTCAATATCACTGATTATCTGTAAGTATATTTTAAAATAAGAAGGGTACACCGGTAGAGGTAGACCTAGAAAGAGATGGATTGCGTAAAAGGTGACATGATCAAGAAGGGAGTGATGACTGAGATGACGTATGATAGAGTTATGTGGAGGACAAAAACCTGTTGTGCCAACCTACGGGAGTAGGATAAGGAGAAAGATGATAATCTGCAAGTATCTTTTTTATAAAAAAACGCTTAACTTTTTGCATTCTAAAAACTTTCAACTCCCAATATAAAAAGTTCAAATGCTCAATTGACAATGTGTATCTTGCTTTGGATTTATGATTGGTTGAGAATTTATTATATTTGAAGCGGCAGAGATTTTTTTATTCTCTCAGTTCTTGCATTACCACGTACACACCCTGTATATTATACATTTCTTAATCTTAGTGTAAGATATACAAGGTGTTTGAGACCTGGTTCACATTCGTGTTAATTAACCATTTCAACCTTGATTCTTCATTGGTAATCGCTTAGTGTTTGTCCCTTTCTAGTAGAGAATTTTTTCCATTTTACTCACCCCTTAGTTTAGGGGTTTTTATTACAAAATTATTCAAAATATGCTGTGATTTCTGACATCCTACATAACAAAGAAATGTGGGTTTATGCTTTATTAGAATAGTATAAATATAGATGCATTTACTAATTTTTTTTTTGCATTCCTTAGCTCTAGGCTTTTGCTAGGATATTGTTCACGACTATAGTCTAATGGCGTGATTGGAACCTACGACCATGAGATCAAAAGTCCGTTCCGTTGAAGTGTCAATTATTTTAAGGTCAAATCTTAAAATAATTGACACTTCAATATGTTTCAAAGGAAAACCTACATTATTGCTGACGAAGATACCTCTGTCATGTTCATGAAACCTTTTTTACCTTTACTCTATAGGTTGCATGTGGATAAAGGAGCCACGTTCATTCGGCCAACAGATTATATACCCGAGGAAATAAACTGGGAGCACAGAGGTGCAGTCACTCCGGTCAAAAATCAACGCGGCTGCGCTTGTTGTTGGGCCTTCTCAGCTGTAAGTCGAATTAGATGGATCACCGAAGCTCTTGATCGTGCCCCAAGCTCCCATTACTATATGTAATTTCTATTTATGTTAAAAACTTACTTGTAAAATGAGAAGTCATGGAAGAAGTTGGTCGATTAAAAATAGGTGGTGTCCATTCGACCGATATTTTAGAATGTGCTCTAGAATACAAAAAGGTTAAGAACCCGTGGTCTAACTAGAATATGAAAGACAATATTTCTTAATTTAAGACTAGTCGAATCTAGTTTAAAATTTATATACAGACTGGTGCTTTGGAGGGTCAAGTCTTCCTTAGCAAAAACGTACTGGTGTCGCTGTCGGAGCAGAACCTTGTTGACTGCGATTCGCGGGGCGACGGCTGCAGCAGCAGCGGTAACATGCTTTCAGCATTCGCCTACGTCTCACAGAACCAAGGCATCGATAGAGAAGACGCCTATCCCTATTACGCAAGAAAACAACAATGCGCGTGAGTTGTCTAAAGATATTAATTCCAACTAGGCGTTACAAACCGTTAGAGCATGGGCTCAGTTGTTTAAGCACTTGACTTGTAATCTACAAAACTTGAGTTCCAATCCCCCATGTAGCAATATGATTTTAGATTTACATATGTACATAAATTACTCGACGTTCTTACGGTAAAGGAAATGATCATGATGCCTGCACATATCGGCATGAAATTCAATGATTTGTGAAGTCAACCCGCAGTACAGCGTGGTTGACTATGGTCTAGTCACTAACTTAGGGTAGCCACCGAGCCCCTCGATGGGGACTTATGACTTATACTTAGCTGGTGATGTAACAAACGTACTTAGCAGAAATATGACGATGTAGATATTATCCATTGAAAATTTCATAGAGATCCGTTAAGCCTGGAGATACGTGTACCGAAACAGACAGACAAACACATTTTATATTTCATCAACATATAATTTGCTTTCTGCTTCTAATGTTTATTGCTATTGGATTTAAGTCGTACGAAAAGTAATCTGCTTCTTCCGTCTTTATAAAATTTATTCTTTGTACAATTGCAGTTTTAAAAACGTAACTGTGGGCGCACGGTCTGCTGGCTTCACGGCGATAATGTTTGGAAACGAGTTGATTCTAAAAGAAGCTGTGGCGACGCGAGGCCCTATCTCAATCGCGTTCCATGCTATGCACAGCTTCAGAACTTATAAAGGCGGCATATACTATGAAGATAGGTGTAATGCCAACAACCTAAACCATGCAGTTAGTTTTCATTGTTTTTTAAACTTCTTATTCTAAACACGACTCAAGGAGATTTCTCCTACAGGAAATTAGATAAGTAACATTATCGTTGGATGATTCATAAATGGTTATATTTTAATTGATTTTTCTATTCTAGGTTAAAAGCATGAGTTGAATTAGATTATAACTAAATGTTTCTGTTATAATACTTTATTATTTTCATCATCATCTTCCTCCTTATTCTACTCCCGTAGCGACGCAACAGGTTTTTGTCCTCCACATAACTCTATCATGCGTCATCTCAGTCATCACTACCTTTTTGATCATGTCACCTTTCACGCAATCCATCCATCTCTTTCTAGGTCAAGGGAGGACCCAAGGGGGGTCGTAACCCCCCTGAGCTGATAGGCTGACCTTGACAAAATATATATACATTTTTTGTCAAGCTCTTGACTTGATCACCACTATGTGACCCCCCTGGCGCCAAAGCTGGATCCTCCCTTGTTCTAGGTCTACCTCTACAGGTGTACCACACTCATAACTAACATTCTTCTTGTAACATGCGATTCATCCCCCCCATTTACTATTTTATCATTTATTTTTACGGCTATTCAAGTTCACCTTCACTCGTCGAACCTACACTTGTGCGGAGCTACTCTACAAAATTGATTTCCTGTTTTACTGTTTAGATGCTGGTGGTAGGATATGGTAGGGAGCGAAACCAGGACTACTGGCTGGTGAAGAACTCGTGGGGCACTGGATGGGGATTGAAGGGCTACGCGAAGGTCGCTCGAAACCGGGGAAACAATTGCGGAATTGCGACCATTGCCAGTTACCCGAATATAAAATTGTAACATTTAACTATTATTATAATCTGTTTTGTTACTGAAACTGTGTGAATTTAATTTCATTTGTTTTCTTCTTGACATAACAAATGTATTTTGTAGAATAATTTTATTCTTTTTAATAAATTCGTAATCAAACAAAAATATTGTTCATATTTAATTCCTTAAAACATGTGAAGTGTTAACAATTTCAAACTAATATTATAAATGCGAAAGTTCAGATGAATGGATCTTTGTTAGTTTGTAGCCTAAACCGCTGAACGGATTTCGATGAAATTTGATACAGATGTCGAGGATAGTCTGGAAGTACACATAGGCTTGCATTTCATTTTTGACCGACTTCCCTATAGAAGGAGGTACCCAAGTGGTCTGTATGTTTTTTTTTTTATATGTGTTACGGCATAACTCCGCCGCTAGTGGACCGAATTTTTGTTTAATTCCACGAGTACGGATTTGCGGGGAAAGCTAGTTTAAAAGCTTTTTACTTTTGGTGACTTAATGGTGACATAGTCTTCAAGGCATTATCTCCTTTTGAATTAGATAAATTCGAAATCGAATTAACTTACTTCTCATAATATTACTAATGTTATGAATGCGAAAGTATAGATGGATGGATGTTTATTTTAGTTTGTAGATTAGACGGCTGAACGGATTTCGATTAAATTTAGTGTTGATGTAGAGGATAGTCTGGAAGAACACATAAGCTATTTTTTTTTCCATGCGGACAGAATCAAAAGCTAGTATGGTACATAAAAAACCCCCTCCTTTCTAATTTGGGGTCAAAAATCGGAAAAACATACACGTACATTGGAAAATACCAATTTAGTTTCCTAATAAGGTAATAATAATAATTACGTATTTAACATTTTATCCTTAAAATATATAAAAGGAAAAAAAAACAGATTTCCTCCAAATTAGTGTCATTTAACTACATATAAATAATAAATTAATATTATTATTGTCCGTTTTCCTTGGAATTAACAAACACAATTATTTACAATTTCAAATTGTTCGCGTTTGTATTCAAATTAGCAATTCTTTAATGTATACGTTATTAAAAAAAGAAAAAACGAGTATGTTAATAACTTAGTGTCTTGTTAAAACATTTCTTAATACATTCATTGTTTATTAATCAGATAAATTTAAAATCGTCAGAGTTTTGCCGCTTTTAATTAGATTAACAATGAAAATATCTTACAAAGTTTTAAACAGAAAAAATTTCCATAGATTTTGAACGTTATAACATTTTTTTCTTTTGCAGATAATACAATGCGTTTATTGTTGATAATATGTATCCTACTGGGTGTTTGTGTGTTGATTTTACAAGTAAATGCCGACCAATGGAAAACCCTCAAGGTTTGTTTACTTGATTTTATTCAAGATTAGTTTTCGCCTACGACTCCGTCCTTGTGGAGTTAAAAAAAAGAAAGTGAGTAACCTTTAATGTTTTTCCAGACTATCCTCTACATCTGTACCAAATTTCATCGAAATCCGTTCAGCCGTTTTGGCTACAAACTCTAACAAACATCCATCCATACATATAAACTCTAACATTTATAATATTAGTATGAAGTATGGTATCGATATAATAATAACGACATGCCCACTACATTCCAAAGTACAGTCACCTTCGATCGCGTTGTTCCACCTAAAAATCGACAATCGTTCTACACATTGAAACGATAAAGAGGCATAAATAAATCCCAAAGTTCTTTTGAATTTCAATGAATTTCGAATAACAGCTTTATCATTTACTAGCTGTGGCTCGCGGCTTCGCTCGCGTGAAATTATAAAATATAGCCTATGTGACTCACATATATATTACCTTCATAATGATGAAAGGATTTTTAAAATCGGCCCAATAGTTTTTACGTGAATCGAATACATACACAAATACAAATGTTTCATCTTTATAACATTAGTATAGATATAGATTGGTTAAAAACGGACGGGGTTTTAATGCAATCTGTGCATGGTAATGTTTTTGTAACTGGTATACCGCGAACTAAGGCGACTGTACTTGTAACGTAAGGCTTTTGATGGTTGTGAATAATGAATATTGTTTCCGGTTATTCGATAAAATGAAACTAGCGAAGATCAACATGATATCGAAGAACTATTAATTAAAACGGAAAACTTACAGAAAGATGAGCAGCCCAGTCTCGATGTAACCACTTCGCAGTCAAATGAAAACGACTCATCGAATCTTTTATTAAACGAAATTAGACGAATTATTTTCAATTACAAATCATCGGCGCCAAAGTATGTATTATGTTGTTTCTTTTAAAACAAGCTTTCGCCCGCGACTCCGTCGGCGCGAAATTAAAAAAAAACAAAAGTGTGTAGCCTATGCGTTCTTCCAAACTGTCCTCCATATTTATGCCAAATTTCATCAAGATCCGTTCAGCAGTTTAATCTACAAACTCTAACAAACATCCATCCATCTAAACGTTCGCATTTATAATATTAGTTAGATTAAAAAAGCACATTAACAAAGTTTTCAATAGGATTCGAATGATTATAGTTATATGCCCAAAGACTTATCTTTCATATTTCAGTAGAAAAGTGATGATTGTTTGATTTTTGTCAGAATGCTCGGCCCCGACTTAGCGTGGACACTGATTGATGCCGACTTGCCAAGAACAGTAAATTGGACAAAACGCGGTGCCGTTTCAATCGTCAAATCTCAAGGAAAATGCGATAGCTCTTATGCTTTCGCTGCGGTAAGTGTTGAGTGCAAACGAAGCGTTAATAAAAAGAAACTGGCCTCGTATTATTAACCGACTTTTTTTGTACAGACACATTTATAAGCTATGTTGTATTTTTGTTCCGTATCTCGTTTCAAAATGTTCAAACGATTGTTGCCTTTAAGGTAAACACTGTATGTTTGTCCAACTGTACCTGCGAGTACAAACTACTATTTTATTGCAATTCAGCGAATCATTGTATTAATTATTCCAGTTCATATTATGCGCTGGATTCAATCACTAGAATACTACATTTAATCTGTCACACTAAATAACTAGACACAATAATCATACTTCAGACTAATGTTATAAATTTAGATGGATGGATGAATGTATAGATGGATGTTTGTTAGAGTTTGTAGTCTAAACGGCTGAACGGATCTCGTTGAAATTTGGTATAGATGTAGACGATGGTCTGGAAGAACAATAGACTATTCACTATTGTTTTTTCACGCGGTCGAAAGCTAGTAAACATATAATTACAAGTTGACATACAAATCAAGAACGTCGGTGGCTCAGTGGTTTAAGCACTTAACTTGTAATCTACAGGTCTTGGGTTCGAATCCCGCCGTGTACCAATGTGATTTTCGATTTTTCGAATTTTCATATGTACATAATTTACCCGACGTTCTTACGGTGAAGGAAAACATCGTGATGCAACCTGCACACATCGGCGAAGAAATTCAAAGATATGTGTGAAGTCGACCAACCCGCACTGGGCCAGCGTGGTTGACTATGGCCTAAACACCCTAATTTAGGGTAGGCTCCGAGCCCCTCGGTGGGGACATATAGTGAGCTGGTGATGGTGATGATGATACAAATCATATTTCAGCAAAAATACTCTGTTTTCAGGCTGGTGCGCTCGAAGGGCTCTATTTCAAGTATAATAATTATACACTTTTACCGCTGTCTGTTCAAAATTTGGTCGACTGCAGTATAGACTTCCACAACCACGGGTGCAACGGCGGTACTATAGAGAAAGCGCTGGAATATGCCGCTGCCAATCATGGCATCGACCCCGAAAGCGAATACTCTTACGATGGAAGCAGTAACACTTGCCGGTATTTTTTTAATACAAATATTATTTAAAAAATGTAACACTATGTTTACATTATTTTTTATATACGAAGAACCTTAAACCGTCGTTCATATATAGTAGTCATATTTTCGACCAAGGAACCCGTGGTATGTAATGTTCATGACATATTTTTACTACATTCGTGTCCGTAGGATGAAAAGGTCAGCACTGGTTTTGGTGAATATGGGCTATACGTCACTTATGAACGGCGACGAGTCGGCGCTGAAACGTGTGGTCGCCACTCAACCTGTCGCTGCGCGCATTCGCGTCTGCTTTTACGATTTCATGTTCTATGAAGACGGCATCTACTCAGACAGTTGCCCCGATGAAAAGAGAATCACCGTTTCGGTTCGTACCCATGACTACTTTTTGCCTACTTACAAGTTGGTACTATAACAGCCAATAGGCGAGAGTGCTAATTTTTAGAATTGCCTCTACCTTATAGATAAACTTATTATAAGTACTGAAATAAATAATGATTATTGAATTGCAATTAATGAATACGTAAAAAAAGTAGTTATAAAATTCCCTGCGCGCCAGCCGTCGACGCGGAACATCACTAAAATATGTCACTTGTCTATAAAATATAGACCCTTGTAGCGCTGACTTGCGCGTGGCTTCCTAGCACGCGATCTATACAGTCATCTCACTTGCACCGCCGCTCGCGCACAGCTATCTCGCTCACTCCGTAGTGGAAAGCGGCAACGACGCACTCACCGAAGTTCACAGTTACATGATATCGATAAGAAAAAATTTCATTTTGATTGATTGTATTCAGTTTAAAACGAATTATTTTTATAACTACTACTACTACTTGACGGATGATAGGGTTTGTAGTCTAAACTAGCTGTTCCCCAGCGGCTTCATCCGCATGAAATTATGAAAATTTTATTTTATTATTTACATTTGTCAGATTATCAATGCAAATGTCAAAATGACATGACATGACAAACCTTAGCAATCTTTCTTTCTTGATGTTGGCAGCAACTTATGGTCTCTTTCCCACATTATGATTTTTATCTAAAATATTTACCCTCTAAGTTTAATGGCGTCAAAATATATAGCCCAAAAGCAGGACGCAAGTGTATGGTTTTTTTTATTAAAAAAAGAACTATTCAAAAATATGTTGTAATTGCTGACATCTTAAGTAACAAAGAAGTGTGTGTTTACGCTTTATTATAATAGTATAGAAGTATAGATTGCTGAACGGATCTCGATGAAATTTGGCAGACACAAAGAACACATAGATTTACTTTTGTCTTTTTTTTAATTCCACTGAGACGGTGTCGCGGGCGAACAGCGAACACAGTTAGACATTGCACACCCCTATCGTCTACCATATACTATTGACGATGGCGCCTCTCAATTTATTGTTTATTCGATTTGTGTTGTATCTTCCAGGTTCTGATCACAGGCTACGGTAGATGTAAAAAACAAAATTACTGGCTGATAAAGAACTCGTGGGGCACCGAGTGGGGCATTAAGGGCTACATGAAGCTGGCACGCGACAGGGGCAACCAGTGCGGCATCGCCTCCGCAGCATTTTATCCCACATTACTTTTAACTAAGAATGCTTATAATAAACTTCCTGCGCTCACTTAACAAAATCATTTGAAGAACGCATATAGATCAACAAGGATATCTGGCCCGGTTAGGGTTAAGTCAAACTATAACTGCTTTACAAATAAACGCAGTATAAAATTAAACTTAGGAATATAGTAAGTATAAGCAAATATTAGTACAAATTTTGCTTATATTGTTTACTAGCTTTCGCCCGCGACTCCGTCCGCGTGGAATTTACAAAACAACAAAAGTGAGTAGCCTTTGTGTTCTTCCAGACTATCCTCTACATTTATACCAAATTTCATCGAAATCCGTTCAGCCGTTTGGGCTACAAACTCTAACAAACATCCATCCATCCATTTCGCATTTTTAATATTAGTACAACTCTTAGTTTAGTAAGGTATAAGTCACGAGCATAAGCAATATTTCATAAAGATGTATGGAGGGAAGGGAAAGGGATGGGGGGGGAGCAAAGGCGTCAAATAAACCACTACAGACTGAAGTTTGTTATAAAAACAATTATATTCACAGTTACAATAATTATATTTACAATTAGCAACTTAATTTAGTATTGAAGTTACATAACTGCGGGTTTACACTGCCGCACATCGCTGCAGTGTAACCCACACTAAAACTACATTTACCCGATTAGAAAATTCTAATGTTATACCAAAGAGTTGTTTTATAATAAACATATTCGAATATTGCTCAAAACTACAAAACTATTGCATTTGATAAACTATTTTTTACTTTGATTGGTTGAAAAATGAAGAAAAATATCGAATCGTTTGATTTTTTAATTATCAGAGAATTTGTTGTTTGATTACCAACGGGTAAAATTTCACCATCAATCGGCAACAACTATTTTTATATTTGACTAGATCATGTTCCAAGAAATAAACGTTAACCACTGAACTTCATAAATAGACAGGCTATAAATGTTATTGCATAATTTCATTTTCGCTATTTTGACGCTGATCTGCTGGTGAGATAGAATTATTAGTAAACTCAACAGACTTATGTAGAAACTAAACAAACGCTTATTTTTATACTTTTAAATGTATACTCAAGCTTGTTTTATTTTTTTCCCCTTTATTTTTAGCCTGTATTCATCATTATTTTATCAACTTTGTAATAAAATATTTGCCATCTGAATGGATTAAGTGATTGTATTATTTCCTAAGCAATGACCTATCTATTTATAGAGATCAGTGACAACAACCTAAACACCATCCTATTTTGGAGGAACATATGTACTATTCAGTAGAAATTATAACTGTCTATAGATAATATATCTACATAATCTATACATCTATAGATAGAGTGTTTCATACAAGTTTGATCGAGAATGGAATTACTGTCATTTTGCATAGTAAATAACAATTTACTTCAACGAAAGGACGCCAGATGTTTTTTTCCTCCACTTTTCTGCTATAGATTACGTATCTATAGATTATATATCTATACTTACATTAAATGATATTAAAATACAGACAATTAGTTTTCTATCTCTTTTGAGTAATACTAAAAAAACTTAATATTATTAAGAATTAATATATACACTGTACAATAAACTACAATAGTCTATATAAGAAATACTTAACTAACATAGATGGAGAGACTTATTTGACCCGGTAAGCATCAGTTCGATGTCAGTAAGTGTTATAAGATGTCATGTAATGTTGCTTGTTAGAATTTATTTTCTACTAGCTTTAGCCCGCGACTCCATCAGCGTGGAATTTTAAAAAAAAAACAATAGTGAGTAAATAGCCTGTGTTCTTCCATACAATACTCTACGTCTATATCAAATTTTATTTAGATCCAATACAAAACTAGAATCAATACAAAAACAAACAAATAATTAAAACATTAAAACTTTATCGTACAAAGAAGTTACCAGTAAAAATATTATACCCTATGTCTAGTCTTTACTTCTTAAATGTCTTTGGTCAGAAGTAACCGAGATCTTACCGGGTTAGATAAGCTTATCATATTATAACCTCAAAAATGTTTTCAAATATGACCATCAAGTAATAGACATATATTGGCTCCTATGTAAAATATCGTACGTAAAGCAATTTACGTATCAAATAATCTATATACATAGGAAACCAAAATCTGCAGTTTTTAACGTTATTATCAAAGATTAAAATAAATATAGAGTAGGCACAGTTGACACTTCACGTGAGACATTTTTCACATAATATTGTCTAAAATAGTATCATACATAGCAGTGAATCTTCGGTTATTTTCAAATTTACAGTGAATTTGTAACAAAAAAAAATTGAAATTTTGACTTACGATAGTCTCCATAGGAGTCATATGTCAGAATAATCTTAAACATATTGACGTCGAAATTATAACCTCAAAATGTACTTTAGTTTACCTAGTTTAGAGCATTGCGTTATTTCTTCTTGGGTTTCTTGGGGTTCCTGGAGCGGCTCTTGGCCTTGCAGAGAGGACAGATGGGAGCGTTCCTGTGGATCTGCTGATGGCAGGATAGGCACGACTTCATAGGCGGCGGCTGCTGTCTGTAAACACAAGAATTACAATAGAAACACGTGTAATATGAGTGCTTACAAGTGTTGAGAAGCAAATAATAAAATAATAAAAAAAATTAACAAACACTTGCTGCGTTGCGATAATTGGCTAACTAAACTAAATATATTATACTCATTTACCCTTTTGACTACAAAATTGTTTAGAAATGTTTTTTAAAAGAGATCCAGAAAGGTCGAAATGAATTCGTTGTTAGAAGATCGGAATTTGCATTTTAAAAAATTCAGAATTTTTATAAACTAGCTTTCACCCGCGACTCCGTCCGCGTGAAATTAAAAAAAAAACGAGTAGCCTCTTTGTTCTTTCAGACTATCCTCTACATCTATTACAAATTTCATCGAAATCTGTTCAGCCGTTTAGGCTACAAACTCTAACAAACATCCATCTAAACTTTCGCATTTATAATATTAGTATGAAGTACGATTTATTTTCGACAACTTTAACAACTATAGGCTTTACCAGCCGATGTTCGAGGCTAGGTTTGATACGTAAAACCTAGCCTTTTTAAAGAGGTTTTTAAACTATTTTATTATATTACCATTCACTTTTGAGAGGAGGTAATTGAGCCCCGAAAACTTTAGTGTCGTTAACAACGCAGCAAGTTATAACAAGGTGAGATAGGAACAGGGATATCGGAAATGTGGAAAAATAAACAAAAACAAAATCATAATCAAACCTCAGCGAGACGGTAATGAAATCTTGTTGTAGGGCAGACCTGAACGCGGGCGGCGGGGGCGGCTTGCGCGGCGCGGGGGGCAGGAACGCCGCGCCCCCCGCACCCACCGCGCCCCCCACACCCGGCGGCAGACCCGCGCCCCCCACGCCCCCAGCACCCCCCACAGAGCTCCGCACTGACGCCGGGAAACGGCTGCGGAACGTCCGCCGTCACAGATTATAAAATGTTTACGTCATAGATTAAAAAATATACCACAGATAAAATATTATATCATGCTCATAGATTACAAATTAAATATGAATATAAAATTATATTCACCCAGGACTTTATTGTTTGATCTTAAAAATCCTTAAAAAATTAAATTGTTTTATTTATAGAAAATTGTTTAGAGTAGAGTAAAATTAGCTTGTAACATGCATACTCACTCAGGTGTGATGGGTGAGCCCTCCTCCTCATGCAAGTCTGGCAGGCGATCAAGGCCGAGGCACTGCCGGCGCAGCATGTCCACCTCGGCCTTCAGCGGCCGGTAGTCCTCGTGCAGTCGTGATGCATTAGATAGCTTCCGGCCCATGCTCTCCTCTGTTTGTTTTATTACTGTCTCCATCTGGAAAATTAACCAGTATTGTATCATCCAATGATATGTATTCAGTTGTTAATGATTATATTTTTCAACGTAAAATGAGACAAAAATGATGGTAACCCTATTTTTATAACCAGGTTATATCATTGAACATTGAGAAATAAACTAGCATTTGCACAGAGTAACTCACATTTAGAGATAATCAGTTGCTAGCATTATGCATAGTTAAACTTCTAAAAGAGCAAACTTTATACAGACATAAAAAAAATAAAGTGAAGTAACATTATTAAATACAAGATAACTATTTGTAAATTTGACAGACATATTATAATAAAAACAATTATTAATCACAAATTAAGAGAGAAAACATCCAATCCTTTAATACATCTAAGATATTTCATGTATTTAATAATTTTATTGTCAACAGCAGTTTTTACATTGTCCAGTCTGTAATTACATTAGTCTATGCGGCGTCGTTGCGCGGGAGAGCTCTCGAAGTAGTAAAACAAACAAACAGAGCTACATGTTACAATTGTGCTCCAACAATAGCCCGCCTCTAACAATAACAAACATTCTATGTCTAAAAGTCATTCACTACACTCAAAAACTATTCTTGTTCATTGAAATATTGAAATACAGTACTTATTTTATATTTTTAAGTTTTAAATAACCCAATTCCCCTAGATTTGATGAAACAAAAAAATATAGAGTTTAGAGATATAATATGTTGTTATTATTATTTTATATTGTAAATTAGTGTCAATTTATATTAATAACTCAAAAGTACACATAAAAATATGATTTTAGCTTTCTATGCATTTAATTTTCTAAAGTCTAATAAAAGGACTGTCCATATTTAATAAGCTTGTAATTTATTTTTTTAACTAACATATAAAAGAAGGTGGCTCAATATGTCTTCGTTTTTTTTTATGTATTTCTGTTACCGTATATTTTATCGTCAGGTTAGCAATAAGAATAAGTATTATATCTTTGGACACAAATGTTAATTTATAATTTAATTGAACAAATAAGATGTATGACTGTCATGAATGGAATTTCACATTCCTGTGTACATTATTTAAACAAATTTGTATAATACAGTTTAGTATATCATGTTATTTTACCGCATTTATATCTGCATGTATCTGTCGTAGCTCTTCTACATGGCTCATTTTCTCCTGTTGTAACAGCTCCATTTCCCTCTTGTATTGTGCCAGACATCGCCCTTCCTGATCTCCACTACGTACTTCACTGACGATACTTCTCTTCAAACGCTCCAAGGTGATCGTCTTATTTCTAAAAACAATAGTTTATTATTATTGAAATACGAAATATTATGATGCGCCTTTTGTACACACTAAAACATGATTAACGTTATGTTTATCAATACAATATAACGAAATAAATTGAGGTTTAATAATTATTTTGTGTCAAGTACTTATTGATCGTCTCTACAGGTGCGAAAGCATTTGAAATAACAATCCCAAACGGAGTACCTGATTTCTTTCATAGCTTCTAATTTATGATATATTTCGCGTTCGTTCTCTGCTGTCATTTCTCTGTTATGTTTATTGTAAATAAGCTGTCCAAATAATCGGTTTTTCGAAAATAAAAACTAAATGAAAACGCACAAAGCGACAATGCAGTAAGCCGCACATGAGATTAACTAGTGATGTGCTGAAATCAAATCAATCTGCTATTAATAATGTCGATAAGAGTCGATTTGAGTTACCACAAACAAGATAATAATGCAGTTTACTATTAATTAAGTTGTGACTTTGAAACTTCATCGATTTTCCTTTATTACTATAATTCTGGCAATATAAATAATAACATATAAATACAGTAAAGTTGCTTATATAAAAAAACTTAACATTGGAAAAGTAGCATGAAAAACAAACAAAGCTCATGAGTCGTACTCATTGTCTATGAATTGCAATAATGAAAATGGCCGCTTGACCGTCGAAAGCGGCTTGCTGTCAAAATATAAAAATAATTTAAAGTAGCGCGTATGAATAATTCTAATGAAATCAAACGAATTTTACAAAGTTCTTTTATATTAAGATTGGATGAAATAAATAATTTTTAGCTCAGATGTTGTAACAATTAGCTCGCAAAGGTCATTTACACCTTTGCAATTCGCTTCGTGTCGTGCGTACTGAAGCAGCACTTGTGAATCGGTGTTTACGTCCCAGGATGAGTGAGGAGGATAGTGAAGGCTCGCCCGTGCGGTTCAAACGGAAAACCAAGATTGTTGACGTCTTGACTTCATCAGAGTCCGATAGTGATGATGGCATCGGCGTGGCGGATACACGTAGAAAGAGACTTCGGGTAAAAAGCAAAGTTAGTTTAGCAACCAGAGTCATATTTAAAAACATTATGCTATAAAGCTTACATATTTTCAGGTATTAAGTGACGAGGAGTCTGCCAGCAGTAGTGACAGCTCCGTGGCGGTCGGTGGTGTTCGTAGACGTGAGCTTCGTAAACTGAGATATTCGGATGATGAGAGCGATCTCTCAGGATGGACTACTGATGACTCCAACGCAGCAAAGACACAACCAACACAACAAAAACCTACTGGACAGACATCTGGATTCGCATCGGACAGTTCTGAAGGCAATTCTGATAAATGTTCAATCTGCCTTCTCCGCTTTAAAGACCAGGAGGTGGGAACTCCGGAGAACTGTGACCATATATTTTGTGTTGACTGCATATCGGAATGGGCGAAGAATGTCAATACATGTCCTGTAGATAGAATTACGTTCAATTCTATAATTGTGAAAACACATGCTGGTGGTAGTGTAATAAGGTCTGATCCCGTGATAGTGTTGCCTCGGAGACCTTCATCAGATATATTTATAGTTGAAGATACAACATACTGTGAGGTTAGTATTATAATACAATATTATAAATACAATCTTTGCATTAAATACATGATCGTCTTTAAGATGATTCAAAATAAAAAGGCAACAATTTCAGCAATATAAACATTTTTAATGTACCAACTACTCAACTCATTAGTTAAAGGCAGACCAAACAATTAACAAAATGTCCAAAGGTAAAGTTATCTATAAAAATTATAGGCTAGAAAGCTATGAGTCATTAATAAACAATTTTTATCCTAAATTACTGTGACAAAGATGGAAGATATGAAACTATTTACACAAAGTATTATTTTTGTAAACATTCTGTAATCACAATAGTTAACCATAAAATTTATTTTATTTGTTACTTTGTAAGAAAGACTTTTCAAAGTAACAAATATGTATTGCTTTCAAAAGCCTGTTTCAACGATAAAATGCAAATGAGAAGTAACAGTAACAAGAATATATTTAAACTATATGTTGTCTAATATGTAGTGAAGCATGGTTAACTATACTAAAATTAGTGCTCTGCAGATCAACTTTCAGTTCATAAGTTTGAAGCAGATCAGTGAAGCTTGCAGCTCAATTAATTGTACCTGCATAGCATTATGATTTGCATTCATACTGAGAGTTGTCAGTTACCTGGAAAGTTGCAATAAGCCATGAACTGCCAATTTAGTTGTTGAGCCACAGCCCAAAGTCCCAATGAGCTGGTTCAGAGTTACGACTAGTAATGTTACAATTGAAAACTGTCCTTAATTAAGAATTGCGGTGATGGCTTGACCACTCACCAATAATAAAGGCATTATCTAGTTAAGTTTTATGATAATACTACTTTTTACTATATTATAAATGCAAAAGTTTACATGTATGTTTGTTACTACATATCTACAGAATTGCTCAACAGTTCTTTCTGAAATTGGGCAATCATGTAAACAATAGTCTAAAAGTAGACAGACTATTATTTAAGTTTTTTTTGTGCTGACAGTTGGGGTTGACAGTAACATAATTATTGTAAATTTATTACTACAGGTATGTGCAAGTCCAGATAATGAAGAAACAATGTTACTTTGTGATGGTTGTGACCGTGGATATCATATGCAGTGCCTCAACCCTCCCCTCAACACAGTATGTATATACCAATTACTTCTTATATCTATTTACTTGATCTTATATACACATAGTTATATAACAAAGTAACTTTCGATTATTACCATCGCTGATTAAAAAGTCAAAGTGTAGGTAACTGACAATTATTTGATAAGTCACATGCTTCATCATCAAAACACCAGCTCACTATACGTCCCCACCGAGGGGCTCTGAGCCTACCCTTATAAGGGGTGACTAGGCCATAGTCAACCACGCTGGCCAAGTGCGGGTTGGTTGACCTCACACATATCTCTGAATTTCTTCGCCCATATGTGCAGGTTGCATCACGATGTGTTCCTTCACCGTAAGAACGTCGGGTAACTTATGTACATATAAAAATTCGAAAAATCGAAAATCACATTGGTACATGGCGGGATTCGAACCCAAGACCTGTAGATTACAAGTCTAGTGTTCAAACCACTGAGCCACCGACGCTCAAACTAAAGTCACATGCTTGTCACATATTAAATCCCCCTTTTCAACATGTTTTTTCGATTTTACTACGAATATCGCTAATCTAAAGTTTCTTTGTCTATGGTGGCACACTTAGACTGTATGACTATGAAATATTTGTTTTTCAGGTGCCTTTATCTCAATGGCTTTGCTCATATTGTCAAGACCTTCTAGACGCTAACAACACTTCCGATATGGAAGACCTGGAAGGCATCAGGTCACGTCGGTTGCGGAGAAATTTGCGATCAATGCCGAGAAATTATGATACAATAGAAGAACCATCAACATCAAGTGGTCGGAGTAATGTACGTTTAAATGAACCGACTACTTCCCGGGGGACGAGCACTTCTCAAAGATCTAGATATTCTAGAAGGTCGACAGGAACGCAACGAAGGAAACGGAAATTAAAGACTAATGCAGATGTAGACAGACAAAATAGAAATAAAAAGCTTAAGAAGCTAAAGAAGAAAAGGAAGGTTAGTAATTACAATATAATGCTATTTTGGAAGGTTTTGACTTATTTTTTTGTTAAAAAGATCGAAATTATTATTAAATCGTTAAATGTGTCAATTTTGGATCTAATACTATTTGTTAGATTTTAAAACACATATTTTTCATTTGTCTTATTTTAATCATTAGGTCAGATTTTTTTAATTCACCATCAGAGATCTTCCATCTTTTAGTACTTTATGGCCAAGTAATAAAAGTCATTTAAAACACCTTCAATATGTGCCACTAAAAATCCAATAGAGGTCAAAATTTCAATTGTAATTTGTCCATTTAACATATTATTTCATACTTAATTTGGCCATAAGTGTAGACTTAGTAGGAACATACTAATCTCGATATAACTGGTAACCCTTAAATGAAGTACTATAGCTAAAAATATGTAACAGACAAGACGGCAACCAAGAACAGCAGCCCGCAGGTCCCACGTGCGTGCGAGCGTGCGCGCTCAGTTAGTCAACTTGAAGATCAGCTCCAACGATGTCCGCGTGTCCTCTGCGGAGGCCCAGAGCCTGTCCAGCCTGCGGCAGGCCGCCGGCATCGCCTCGCTCAGTCTCTTCGGCAGTGCTTACGAGCTGGACCACTTCACGGACGATGAACAAGATACTAATTCTAGCGGGATGACTGCGGTTATGAGACCCACATCTAACATGCTGTCTGCTTATAGACAGGTAAATCTTACTATCTTATCTATCTTAATAATCTTACTATGTTACTAATATTATAAATGTAAAAGTTTATATGAATTACATTTGTCCAAAATGGATCAACAAATCTTGTTAAATTTGGTACAATTGGCTGATACATAGAGTCTGAAAGAACACAGGCTATAATACGATTGGTTTTAATTAAACGGGCAACTTGTTTAAATAATTAGAAATACATATGTGAAATAAAATCATGACTTATGTTTTCAGGCAAGAAGAAAGATGATTTCTATTCCATCACCTTCACAAACATCACCACCAGATATTCTTTCTAGCATAATAGAAAGTCAAACTTTACTGTATTCTAAGAACTCTGTCGTAACCGTATCTGTAGATGGAAATATTGATATCAAATTGAAAAGAAATAAAAAGAATAGTTTGCCGAAAAATAACTCCAACCCTACAAAAAATGATGATAAACTCGATCTTTCTAAAGGCGAAGATGCGTCTAAGAAAGCTCCCTCGTACCCCGGACAGTCGCGCGGCGGCTGGGGCGGCGGCTACCGCGGCAACTACCACAGGGAGCAAAACTCCAATAATTTCAACAGAGGCAATAACTACGACAATTACGGTGGCAACTACCAAAATCAGAGACAGGGAAACATGAATTACCATAATAACATGAGACGAGATGAAGCTGATAATTTTGGCAATTACGCGAGAAGACCACAGTATTCGCATAATGATGACTCCTTCTATGACAGACAAGGTCCCAATAGAAGACAGGTTCCCAACGACGCTAGAGGTCAACACTACGGCCCACATCAGAGATTAAATGATCAAGGGCCAGGACGATATAGTTTAGGTCCATCTTGGCAATCTTTTCCCATGGGCAGCGGACCGCGTCCTGAAAACCCAGTATCACATAATAGACATTCTTTTGGAGGATTCGAAAACCCACTCGATATGCGAATGGGGCAAGCACCTTTTCCTGGTAATACAAACTCAAATGATATGTTCCCTCGTTCAGAAAATGTCAATAAATCGCAACCTTCAGACTATCAGCCGTTACCTGAACCACCTATGTTTAGTTTCTCTAAAATGTCTGAACCTGAAAAATCTGAAGATGAAAAAAGTGATTCGGGGTTAGTTATCGATACGGAAAAATATGACCCGACTGAACCTACAAATGATGATGATGATAGTTGTGGGGATGATAAAACAACGAATCAATCTAAAGCGGTCGATTTGCCCGCCTTGCCCGCATTGCCCGCCCTGCCCGCCCTGCCCGCCCTGCCCGCCCCGCCCGCAGCCGACGAGCACTCCCCCCCGCCCACGCCCGCCGCCGTGCAAAATATATTAGCGGGTATCGACACTAGTACAATAAATGTGCCTCATAATATATTAGATAGTGCTGTAAGACAAGTTTTAAAAGAACATAGAAATTTAATATCTTCACCTAAGTTACAATCTAACGTGTCTAACGATAAAAGCGACGACGAATCAGATGGTGATTGTCCCAATTTTTCTATTTATTCAGCCACAAGTGTTCACATTGCAAATAATAGTAACCTACCTGTCGAGGTGGTCAAGGAAGTGCCTCAAGACAATCTTGAAGACCTCGTACAGGAGGACGATGATGTGCCTCCCCCAGAATTTACCCCAAACGAGGTGACTAATACACCTGTAACGAAAGCAATAATAGATACGACCATTAGTAATAAGCCACATTATTCTAGTTCTGATAGTAGTGTAAAAAAGAAAACCGACGAAGAATATAAAGAGAAAGTATCAAAACGATGTCCAATAACAACTAATACGAGAAATCCTATTAAAATAAAACTTAATACACATTCTCTTATAAAGAGACATATAAATTTATATGACGAAGAAGATATAAATGAAGAACCAGAGATAGATAAAGCCGAGACAGTCGATAAAACTGAGGCGACTGAAAAATGTGAGACAATCGAAAAATTTGACACAACTGGTAAATTCGTCTCTATAGAGTCGTTGCCAGAAGAAAAACCACAAGATAATTTAAATATCCACCTTGAAAATAATGAAGAAAAAACGGTGGAAAAACTCGACAACCAAATATGTAAAGACAAGGTTATATCAGAAGAAAAGAATGATACAGAAGTGCCAATGCTATCTCCGGCATCCGATAAATCAACCAGTAAGAAAGAAAAAGATAACAGTGACTCAGAGAAAGTACAGAATGCAGAAATAAACAATGAAACAGCAACTGAAGAAGTGAAGGATTTACAGGAAGAGGAGGAGGAATTACCAACTGAACTGTTATCAAAAGAAACAGATACTAACAATAGCGAGCTTGTTAAATCGGATAGCGAAAAATCTGACAACGAAGTCCATTCTGAGGATGACGATTCTGACGATGAACTCTGCCTTAAAGCTGATTCACCCGAAAAGGAGATCGCTCCGGCAAAGGAAGGTGTAGAAAAAATGACAGAGTCTATAAGTGAAACCGAAGACGAACGTAGTTATACGCCCTGTCTCGACGAAAACAAGTCGAAAGATACGTCGCTAGAAAACGAAAAAGAGAAGGGAATAGAAGGTCTAGACACTGAGATGATATCCGAAGATGAAGGAAACGAAATGTTTTCGGAAAATGAAAAAGCTCCCTCGGAGACATCGCTCACCTCGCCAGTTAGGACGCAACCGACGGCCGCAGAAGAGAAAAGGGTCTCGGTCAAGAAAAAAGAAAGCAAAGGCGAAGATCGCGATGATATTAAAAAGAAAAAGAAGAAAGAATCTAAAAAGGAAGTCAGGGATAAAAATAAAAACAAACATAAAAAAACCGATATTTCTTTCAAGAAGCTTAGCAAAAATGGTAAAGAAAGGAACTACAGAGAAAGGGATAAGGACGAAAAGAGCAAGAATAAAAAGGAGAGTCGCCGCGAGTCGAGCGAAGAAAAACAAAAGAGACGCAAGGAAAAAAGGAAAGATTTGGAGAGATATGACGTTCGCACAGTGGTAACTGAAAAAAGAAAAAAGATGAAAGACGCGTTTGGACGAGACATTTCCCCGCGCATGCGGTCCACCTCCCTGTCGCCGCTCGAGGACCCCTCGCCCTCGCGCACGCGGCGGTCCTTCTCCAGGAGTCGAAGATCCGTCTCAAGAGGTCGCAAATCGTTGTCCAGAATAAGAAAGTCGCCGTCGAGAGGACGTAAGTCTCCCTCGAGGAACAGACGATCCCTCTCGCGCACACGAAGATCTCCATCAAGGAATCGCAGATCACCGTCCAGAGTTCGCAAGTCGCCGTCGCGCGGCCGCAGATCTCGCTCGCTGGGAAGAAAGTCGCCTTCCAGAGGAAGATTGTCGGTTCCGAGAG